CAGGAGGAGGAGGAGGAGGAGGAGGAGGAGGAGGAGGAGGAGAGGGAGGAAGAGGAGGAGGCGTAATGATGAGGGAAGAGTGGGAGGGACAGGCAGGGAAGGCCAGAGCAGACCCATGATGCATCGACGAGGGGGTACGGTCGGTTCGTGCGGCGTTGGCGCGCGCAACGGTTTCTGACATCGCGTCGATCGTTCAACCCCGAATCGATCGCGGCCCCGAGCGTTCAAGGTTGAAATATCAGTCGGGTCGAATGGCGTTACCGTGTCCATCGGTGCTTCCGCGTCGCGGAATTCAACCTTGAACGCCTTCGCCTGCGTCGCCGGCGCGCCAACGCCGCACGAACCTAGTTCTGGACTACCTACCAGACCACCCCAACCCAACCCGAAGACCCGAATGTCGGGTTGGGGGGGGTACGGGCTCCATTTGTGTTTTCTCAATGTTTCCCCCACTGGAAATGGAGGGCAAATCGGGGCCTTCGGGTTGGGTTGGGTTTGGTGGGCGGTGAGTTCTAGTCGCGAGCTGCGTGCTGATACGCGTAGGGGAACGAACAATGGCATAAACATAAGAACTCGGAGGTCCGCGCGGATTTCTCAGATCGGCGCTGGACCCCTCTCCTTGGCGCGCAGAGCGCGCCAGGGGCGGCGCCGGAGGCGCCGCCAGGGGGCTTCAGCGCCAATCCGAGAAGTCCGCGCGGACCTCCGAATTGTTATGTTTATGTCATTGTTCGTTCCCGTATGCGTTTCCGTCTGTCCCTCGTGCCCGGCAAGTCCGATTCGTAAGCGTGACCAGCCCGTGGCTTCGCGGGGGTGGCCAAACGTCTCTGGCGCCGCCTCCTGCAGGGCCGACCTAGTAAACAACCTCCTCGCATAGCCTGTGTTCGCCTGAGTCGATGAAATTTTCCTGACGCTGGTATAACGTCCCGCTGAGGTGCATACGTGCTCGCACTCGTGAGGCTCTGCGCCCGTTGCCAGGTAAACCTCTTGCTCTCCCTTCCTCGCGCCACCTTTTTGACCTCCCCGCTTGCTCCCACATAGCTTCAGGCTGCGCGAAGAAACGACGACGGATAACGAGGGATTGGACATAAGAGGATCCGTTGTGTGGACGGGGTTGTGAAATTCATGAGTCCCCGGTGTCTCTAAGGGGGAGGAGGGGTGGGGGCGACCGATAACCTGACCTTTTCGCTCTAGGCAACTCCACATACGCCTCTGCGCACCACCGGCCTGCGTGCTTTTGCGCGCGAGCCCGCGCGCACCAGAATCGCACGATTTCGCACGCCGCAGCTGCAAGTGCGTTACATGGGCGTCACAGGCCACTAGCGAGGAAAGCCGGACCCTGCCAGTACCACTACAATTTTCGGACAGCATGGCATGCACCACAGCATGCCCGGCCTGCCAAGGCGACATTAGCCTGCGACCGCCACGCTACGCCTGCGAGTACCCAATGTGGATCTGTTCCGCCACCGCAGTCTGCGACCATCACGACGTGCCCGAGAGCACCACAATGCGCTTGCGACCACCAGGTCGCGAGGGTAGCAAATCCTGCCAATACGTACAATGGGCTGCGAAAGTCACGCGCATGCAAGACCCTGCACTTTTCGTAATCTCCTATGAACGCCACACTGCGCCTGAGAGCACCAGCAGTGTGCCTGTGAACATCACGATCGCCCAAGAACACCCGGGAGTGATTGAGAGCACCACCGCGTACTCGCGACGTCGAAGCGGCGAATGGGGACCCAGCCAGCACCACAAGAGCATGCGAGCACCACGTGTAACTTTAAACATATGTACGAGGGCAGCAATACGCACGCGAGCACAAGCAACGCGTCGGCAATTTCCCATCGTAGCCCGTAGGGTCCTGGGTCCCGAATGCCTTGTCGGTCGCGATTGTCCGGCCATCTCCAACTAGTCCCCGACCCCGCTTGCTCTGCGTGTTGCGGCTTTCTGGTCGCCGCCTATATAGGCCCTGGGTCCCGATTGCCTTGGGTACTGGCTTGGCGTTCGTTACTGCAATATCATTTCTACGATCATTGCTTTATCGCACACTTCCTTTCGCAAAAGATATGTTGCCGAGGGAATTCTTTACAATATTGCCTATTGTTATCGGGCCCGCCCGCGTGCTTCTAAGGTTTAAGTTCGCTTCGGCATGTGTTCGCTTGGTCCTCTTGGGCTCGTCCTGGGGGGGTCGTCCTTTCGGATGCTTCGTCGTCCTGAAGGCGTCTTTAGGCGATCCCAACCGGACTCCCGAACTCCCTCGTCAAATGCTTTTCCCTCCCCTCCAGCTCCCCCTCATCCTATTTTCAGTGCTCCTTATCCATGATCCCTCTTGCCCCCTCACCCCGTCCCAGCTTCCCCCTCCTCCCCCCAGAACCACCTTGTCGCCAAGCTTGCCCACTTTCTCCTTCGCCTCAGGCTCCCGTCTCTTTCTGTATCTGATATCTTTCTCACAAGCTACAAGCGTAGCAATCCGCATATAAAGGTGAAGACGTATACACCGATTTACAGATGCTAGCCAGCGCGGACCCCACACACGGTGCTACTACCAACACATGCTGTGCAATGTTTGTGGTGTAATCTATGCTGCGCAAGCTATTGTTTGAACCGGTGATGTGCGGCAAAAGTGGTGGGACCTATGGGGCCCAACACGCGTCGTTCATTTCTAATCGTGCTCATTTCTAAGCGTGTTCGTTTCTAATTGTCCCTTGCCCGCTGGTGGCCATGATGAGGCCCATGATAGAACAATTAGCCATGAAAGCCAAGGATCTTGGCCCCCCAAATATCCAATAACCTTCGAATAATTAGAAATGAACAGTGTGTAGATGTTGCGCAATGTATATGGATAAGCCTATGTGGTGACTTCGATGTGGTGCAACCCGTTTCTGTTCGCAATGGGTTCTCAACTCCATTGCTCGCGGAATCATCCCACCCTCCCACCCGCAACTTGGCTTGCAAAACCCATGCGGCGGAGATTGCGGTGAGTGCTGGGTGCTGGCTGGTGCATCTCTGCGGCCGCGCTAGCCCGCGCATGCTCGCGCGCGCAGCGGCTAGCTAGCTTGTCGCGACCGACGCGGCCGCGGTGGCGCTGACTGCTGGGCACGTCCTAACGGGCACTCAGTGCGAGTCGGCGACTTGGGCGGGCGCGGTATCATGGCAACGCCGACATTGGTAGCATGGCTACGCCGACAACGGCAGACACGATGATGATAGCAGCGTTGCTGGTGACGGTGGTGGCACCGACGACGGCAAAACCCATGACGGCGACGGTGCTGATCACGCCTGCGGTGTTTAACGGGTTGTGGCATGCGCGCGGGACGACGCGCGCGTGTACACTTCGTCCGATCTGCTGCGAGGGATTATTGCGACAGCACGCGCGCGCGCAAGGGCGTTCGAGCCATTTCGACATACGCGCGAGAGGGGCAGGTTTGGTAGCATGAAATGAGCACGTTGATAAGCCAATTGTTGTCTTAAGAAGTCGCAAGGGGGCGAGCGCAGGCATTTTCATACGAAAACCATTCTTGTTGTGATACCATAGTTTTCATATGTTTCGGGACACTCGGTTTTGAGACCCTTACGAAGCCTAGGGTTTGTGAATGGTTTCGGCATGCGCGCGTGTCCACTTCGTCCCATTTGTTGCAATGGATTTTCAAAACAACTGTTGGGTTTTGATAAACGAGTGCGTGCGCACAGTATTCTTTGGCAGAGGATGAAAGGGGGGCTTCGATGCCGGCTTGTATGGGATGGTATGAATTCGAATTCAGGATGGGCGATGGGGCGGAAATATAAGAAACTTGCAATACAGAAGCGAAGTACGTTATGTCCGGGGGGGAGGTCGATCCTAATACTCTTTTAGAATGGAGAACAGATGTAGTGCAATACATGTTGCGCTCCCCATGTGCTGCAACATACTTGGTTGTGCTATTCATGCGATGCAATCAATGTTGGGCAACATGTGGTGCAGTCTAGGATGCGAACGACCAAAAAAGCGCGCCGCAGGCACGATTATTTTGTGCAATCTACGTGGTGCAAACCAACGGCGGCGACGGGCGGCGACGAGGCGACGAAGGGGCGGCGTCGGCGGCCACATAGCCGCCAGACTGAAGACACGGCCCAGACGACGGGCAGCGACGGGGCGGCGACGGGGCGGCGACGCCGGCTACGTAGCCGCCAGACCGAAGACACGGCCCAGCTCCTCAGAACAGAAAGAGGAACTCCTGAGTGCACGCACTGTTTGGGTCACGCCAGTCTATGTGTGTTTCTAACTTTCGTTTTTTTTGTTCTCTCTCTCTCTCTCTCTCTCCCTCTTCACCCTCCCTGGGACAGGGGAGTGGGGGAGGAGTGGTGAAACCAAAAGGTACCGATACTGCTACCCCCCGGACCTCTCCCGGGGTGCGTTCTGACCAGAATTTCAAGGCGAACCCAGCGATGGCGACGAAGACCTCTCAGGAAGCCCAAAACGGGAAAAACTGGCGAAGGGTACACGTCGGTCGGAAGAAGTAGGCAAAAACATGAAGTAGGAAGGCGGATAAAGTGGATTGGGTCCAGGCCCTCCCAGAGAATAACAGAACACGGCAAAACCATGCCGGCTCTTGAAGTAGGAAGGCGCTTGAAGTAGACTGGGATCTGGGAATCCAGAAATACCTACTTTCAACGACCGGCGTGTCAAAGTACGGGTGCCTTTTCCTCTGGAGGAGGTCGAAGGTTGGAGGCCTGGAAATGGGCACCAACACCAACACAGGGGTTTGCCTCCACAGGGGAAAGATGATCCTAGATTTCGGTGTTGGTGGCAATAGTTCGGTCACCTTGGAAGCCAGAATATCACCACCATCACCGAGATCGGGATTTTCTTACCTCGGTGGAGGCACACCGCCGATATTGGTGCTGGTGTCAATCTCTAGGCTTGCGACGAAGAGGAGGGCCGAGGAGGCCGAGGAGGAGGAGGAGCAGGCGGGCGAGGGGGGCAGCACGAGGCCGAACAGATCCGAACAGGGCGAGCAGCAGCAGGCCTCGGAGCCGGCAGAGGATGGCGCGCGCGGCGCCCGCGCCTCGGGCTCCGAGGCGCGGTCGAGGGTGGAGCCGCCAGGGTCTGGCGGGCGGGGGCGGGCTCCCCGGGGAGGAGGAGGAGGAGGAGGAGGAGGAGGAGGAGGAGGAGGGGGGAGGAGGAGGAGTGGGAGGAGGTGAGGAGGGGAGGAGGAGGAGGAGGAGGAGGAGGAGGAGGAGGAGGAGAGGAGGAGGGAGGAGGAGGAGGAGGAGAGGAGGAGGAGGAGGAGGGGGAGAAGGAAGGGGAGGGGCGCGACGGGTACGGGGGAGGGGGAGGAGGGGGAGGGGGAGATCCCCCGACCCCCTCGTCGCCAGGGTCTGGCGGACGGGGGCGGGCTGTCCCCCGCCAAGTGAGTATCGTTTGACCGATCCCCATCCCCGGCGCCGTGGCCTGGGCCCCACTGGCCGACTTACCCCCCTTAGAGGGGGATACAGGCCGGTCTCGAGGGGTGTATCCCCAACTGGGGTGGTAACTTGGTGGGGGCCTCGAGGGGGATGGGGATGGGGATGGGGATCGGTGAAAAGATACCGACCCAGAATCCCCGACCCCCTCGTCGCCAGAACGGATCGCGGCGGGCGGCGGCCCAGCTTCCACCCAGCCCCTCTCCTTCTCTGCCTCCCGCACGCTTACTCTGCCTCGTCCTCCCCCTCCTGGTCGCCCTCTTCTGCTTCTCCGCTCCCTCCGACACAACTTCACATTCTGAATGCTACTCTCCCCTCTCCCCTGGCCCTGTCCGGAACATATTCGGCCCCCTCCGCGTGCAGTTGTCCTTGTACGCACAGGATTCCAACACTTGATTTGTTTTACGCTGGTTGTGTGCGATGCGATTGCTGTAGGGTGCTCTCGCTACAGCATGGGCCTCATTTTCGGATCGGAGCTTTGCTCCATTCGTTCAGAACGGCGCTCTCGCCCCAGCAAGGACCACTTTTCTGGATCCGAGTCCTGTTTCATTGTTGGCGCCCCCTCATTTCTCCTCCTCCTCCTGCTGCTCCTCCTCGTCCTCCTCCACGCCCTCCTTCCCCTCCTCCGCCTTCCCCTGGTCCTCGTACTTCTCCCACGCCTTCCACTCCTGCTTCTGCTGCTGCTGTTCGTCCTCGTCCTGCTCCTTCCTCATCCTCCTGCTTTTTCTCCTGTTCATCCTCCTGCTCATCCGCCACCTCCACCACCAATATGTGCAACGCTTTTGCCAGATTGCGCATAAAACGATGGGGTCCTCTTTGGAGTTTCAGGTCCGCTATGACACGCGTCGGCGGTTAGAGAAAAACAATGCAAACGGGAAGGTTTGGAGGCGTAGGGTGTCAAATATGGCGCGAGCGAATCTGGCTTGCTCTCCCCCCTTTCTCCTGAACCGCTCTCCTTCTTCGCCTCCTTCCCTGTTCGTACCCTCCTTATCCTTTTTGTTTCTCCTTCTCCTCCCCATTCGCTGTCAACCGCATCCCACTTCCGCCTCCAACCGTCCTCCTACTCCTTCCTTGGCTACACTGACACTGCACGATTCCAGGGCATGGGCTAGCTGCCGTAACCGCTGACCACCATCATGACGAAGAATGTGATGCCGCAGCTGTGAACCAGGAGAGTTGAGAATGAGGAAGAAGCGTTGGTAATGAGGATGCGAATGCGGAAAAAGAGGCAGGCGCCTTCGAGGGACAGCCGCGGGACCAGGTCATCGCTCGAGGCAGAGGATGCCCGCGGGATGCGTGGCGTCGCATTCGAGTCGGTGTCGGCGCTCGACGCGGCAGGCTGGAAGTAGCACGAGGCTTTGCGCTCCATGGACTGCGGCCGGCTGTGGTCGGCCCCTCCTTCCCACCCCCTCCACTTCCCCTCTAGTCACCTCGACATTCCGCCATCACCCCCTGTCAGGCGATCGCAAACATGGATCAAGGGGGCGTGGATTAGCGACGGGTCCCGTTTCCATCGGAAATTGCGCGTGCCCGCCGTCCAACGAGGCGGCACCAGCCGCATGTAGTGGGAGGGCACCTCCCTCGATTAATGGATTTGGCGACCGCGCACCACATCCATCGATCGCAAATCCATGTTTGCGCGCCCCCGACCCTGTCATCCCCATTCTTGCACCATCCCTCCGCCCAACCTCCTACAGTGCGGGCGCGGCCACAAGAAACCCTCGCAAGAAACCCAACCCTGAAAGCCCGCGCGCGAGGTGCACCAGAGGGGAAACCGGGAGCACAAGGAACGCAGCAGCTCTGTCGACGGCCGCGGGAAGTCCACGCGCGGCGCGCGAAATCAAGAAACCCAGGATGCCCTGACGAAGAGCATATGGGTTCTTGATGCGCGCCCCCACTGTATCCCCAACGACTCCACACGCCATCCCCGCTTTGGGCCTCTCGCCTCTCCCTGCCTTCCCCCTCCCACTCACCACCTCCCCCCCCCCCCGCCCCAATTCACTCCCGGCCCTTCCTCGCGCCATCCCTCCATCCCCCCATGTTCCCTCGTCCCTCCAACCGTTTTGTCCGTCGCTCTTCTCCGCCCTCTTTCCTGAACGGCAAATGCTGTACTGAGCATCGCTTAACCGATCCCCATCCCCGGCGGCGTGGCCTGGCCCCCACTGGCCGATTTACCCCCCTAGACGGGGATACAGGCCGTTCCCTACGGGTTTCGAGAGGTTTAGACTTAAGTTGGGCCTGTCCTCCTCCTACAGGTGGATTTTGGACGAAAAATAAAAAGTTGTAAACAAATACCCCCAAATGATCAACAAATTATCAAACCACCGTCCCCAGACTATGTTTTTACCATTTTGAATTTTCCTCCTGTAGAGGGACAGGCCCGACATACACCTAGACGCAGACATAGCGGGCAACACTGCTATGTCAAGCGTGCCGTGCGCAACCTGCCGAGCGAAACTGCATCCACTGAAAACCTGTACCCAGATCTCCGACCACGTGCATACTTCTCGCGGGTGAAAAGATTGTGAACACGCGGAAACGAAATTCCTGACGACGAGCGCATTGTGCGCTGACACCTGAAGTCCCTCGAATAAGTCCAACCACCTGGAACAAGTCCGAGCGAATATGATACCAAAGCACCCAACAACCAGCCACGCACATCGGTTCGCCTCTGCTGCCGTCATGCTGAAATGCAGCTGCTGCATTTGGCCAACGATTTGCGTATCTGCTAATCGCAACGCCCCCAACACCTCGACCGAAAACTGACTACGGTAAACCTCATAACACTCACCAGGCTGGGCAAAGACCTCAGAGCAGGCACTCTGGCGCCAAACCGCACAAGCTGATGCGAACGAGCTCCCACCGCAAACTGCAAGCGCGATTGCTGCCCCCAATTGGGCCATCAATTCCTCCCTGCAGCGCTCAAGCAATCGATGCCCGCAGGCAAACGGTACAATACGAGTCCGCCCGCCACTCGCCCTGGACAGAATCAGGAATCTGGCGCGCAACACTTGAGAGCATCGCAAACGCCGCGCGGCAATCACCCTTGAGGCCCTGCTGGGAGCGCCGTGCACAGCGCGAACCGACTGAACCTTCCATTTAAGCCTCCGAGGCCACCAAGATGCAATCACGGCTCGGGGGACAGAGAAAGAGAAAGAGAGAGAGAGAGACAAACAAAGAGAGAGAGAGAGAGAAAGTATCAAACTCCGACACATCGCTGGCTGTCTCCTTGATCGACGTACCAGCTCTGGGCTCACGTCGTGGCCGCCGACCTCAAGAAAATGGAGGGATCCGAGACCCCCAAGCCTCCCGCCGACAATGTCGCGCATGGTTTCCAATCCATCGCCTCCTTGGACGACTCTCGGGCGTCGAACCACCTCACTCTGACGGTTGCCAGCGACCGCTCCTTTCAGCGACGGTCGGCATCGATCCTGGACTCCGCCCGGCGCTCCGGCGCGCGCGAGCGCACGGTGCCTTCCTACACGGCCTGAGCAGCTTCGCGCCACTGCGAACCACGGCATTCGCCTCGAGGAGCCCCATGACTTTGGGCGTCGCCGTCAGCGGTGCGCGAGGAGCTGAGGACTGAACAGCCTGCAGCAGCTCGAGCAATTCGCGCTGAGTGTCGCCCCCCTCCCCCACCTGCGGAGGCGGCTGCAATATACTGCACCTGAGACTCGGTCATTCAAGTCCGTGGCCCCGTTGCCCAGTGACATCATGAGACCATCTAAAACCACGAGAAGGCAGATTGTGATAATTGTGGGGATGGCGAGAAGAGAATGACGCGGAGAAGGATGGGGCGGAGGGGTTGACGATGAGGACCAGGACGCGACAGGACTACAGGACTACATGTGAAACGTCACCTGCAAGGTTAAGGGGATGCACATGACTCTGGCCTCCACCACACATGCATGGGCAAGCCAATGAGGGCCAGGGGGAGGAGGGCAGGAGGGCAGGACGTTCTCAAAATGTGGCTCTCGCTTCAGCGCGGCACACATTCGTATCCAAAATTTGCAAGAACTTCACGGATTGAGGGCGGGTGGTTTTCAAAATGTGACTCTCGCCTTAGGGCGGCACACATTCGTTTTAAACATAAACATGTGCAAGGGTTTCACGGATTGTGGGCGTGTCGTTTTCAAAATGTAGCTCTCGCCTAAGCGCGGGGCACATTCGAATTCAAAGTTTGCAAGAGCTTCACGACTTGAGGGCGGTTCCGTTTCAGACTGTGGCTCTCGCCCTAGTGCCGCGCACATTCTTTTACAACATTTTCAAGGGTTTCACGGGTTCCCATCGTTCAACGTACCAGGATTTGTGTTTGGGAAAGGTTGAGGACTATGCGGGTGCAACAGTTACGCTGGTTCTCTGTGTTGAAGTCCTAGGAATGGCGTTCTGGCACGATTCAAGATCGTCAGGGCGCATCAGTCAGGTTGATCCGTGGCGTTGGAATCCCGAGAACAAAATCTTGGCATGCTTCAGGGTCTTCAAACGGGTGTCTTCAACGACGCAGTTCCATCAATGGAAATGAACCGTTGTAGGGGCCTACGAAGAAGAAGCTTGGAGGGAGATTTCACTCCAACACCGTTGATGACTCTTGGGTTTACACTGGTCCTCCTTCTCCTCCTCCTCCTCCTCCTCCTCCTCCTCCTCCTCCTCCTCTCTCCTCCTCCTCCTCCTCCTCCTCCTCCTCCTCCTCCTCCTCCTCCTCCTTTTCCTCCTCCTCCTCCTCCTCCTCTTTTTTTTTTCCTCCTCCTCCTCCTCCTCTTTTTTTTCCTCCTCCTCCTCCTCCTCTTTTTGTTCCTCCTCCTCCTCCTCCTCTCATCCTCCTCCTTCCAGAGGGCCCACCTTGGGGGGGCCCCGTGGCGTGCGGCGCCCCGCCTCCGACACGTAGGCCGCCAGTGTCCACTCGAACTCGTGTAACTCTAGCGGGTCGTCCAACCCAGCCTTCAAGAAGGATGGGGGCAGGGAGGGAGGGAGGCGGAAAAGGAGGAGGATAATCAAGAGGGAGGAGGGAGGAGAAGGAGGAGGGAGGGAGGGAGGGAGAAAGGGAGGGAGGGAGGGGGGGGAGGGAGGGAGGGAGGGAGGGAGGGAGGGAGGGAGGGAGGGAGGTAGGAGGAGGAGGAAGAGGAGGAGAAGAAGAAGGAGGAGGAGGAGGAGGAGGCGCGCACTGCCCAAAAGGGGGGGGGGGAGAGGCGCGTGGGTCACTTTACATCCAGAAGCGCACTTTACAACCAGATGGGTCACTTTACAACCAGCTTACAAAATCCGAGAAGGGCACTTTACAACCAGGAAGGGCACTTTACAACCAGGCAAGTAAAACCACATATTGAATGCACGCGTGCCTTTCCCTGAAATCTCCGTGGGCGAGCGCAAGGGTGGCTTTGGGCTCTTCGAGGCATGTTGGTTGTAAAGTTGCCCATCGCGCACGAAGAAGCACTGCGCACGAGTTGGCGACGCGGCGACCTGGTGCGCTATGGCATGTTGCGTGCTGGTGGGCGGATTCGAGTTTTGACCTGCTCTCTAAGCTCTGTCGGTCAGTGCTGCCATTGCTTGCTCTGCCCTTTTTCTGACGGGCGAAGGCTAGTCGCGCAGGACATACGAAAAAACCATGATCCCGTCCAAGACTGGAGCTGCATGGCAGTGGAAAGCTGTAGTGGGAGATGTGGTGGTAGCGGGGGCTACAATGGGAACTGCATGGCGTTGGGAAGCTGCGGTGGCAACTGTGGTGGTCGCCAGGCAACGGCGGGAACTGTGGTGGTAGCTGGGCTGCAATGGGATTTGCGGTAGTAGCGGGGGGTCAGTCGGAATTGTGGAGGTAGCGGGGCTGCAGCGGTAGGCACAAAGGTGGCGGTGATGCGCTGTCACGGTGGCTCAAGCTGCTGCGCTGGCACGGTGGCTGAGGCTGCTGCCCGAGCAGGATACCTGCGTTGCTGCGCTGGCACTGTGGCTGACGCTGGACGAGGAGCAGCAGGGGGCCAACTGGAGCTGGCGCACTTAGCCCCTTGCAGAACACCGTGGGGCTTGAGGGACCAACCTGGCCCAAGAGACCCGCGGTGCCAATGGCATAGTTCCCTGGAGCGCTGGGCCCTTTGTGGAGGCCACTGGGCTCGCTTCCTGTGAGTGATCCCTAAAATGGGCAGCGCGTCGCCCTGAGCCTTCCTACGTATGCTGTCGCCTTATTCCCGTGCGAGCACGGGGCCCTTGTTGAGGCCGCTTGGCCCCTGCTAGCAAGCCCTGTCTTAGTCTGCTGGGCTCAGAGCGCCAGAGCGTCCAGGCGCTCGGACTCAGAGGCACCGCTGGGGCCTGCTCAGAGCGTCCAGGCGCTCGGACTCAGAGGCATCGCTGGGGCCTGCGCGGAGCGTCCAGGTCCTCGGGCTCAGAGGCATCGCTGGGGCCTGCGCAGAGCGCCCAGGTCCTCGGGTTCAGGGGCATCGCTGGGGCCTGCGCAGAGAGTTCAGGCGCTCGGGCTCCAGAGCGCCCACGTGCTCTGGATCACTTGTCAGAGCGTCCGCGCGCCCTGGAGCACTTTTGGGAGCGCCCACTTGCTCTGGAGCATTTGTCAGAGCACCCACTTGCTCTGGTGCATTTTTCAGAGCGCCCACTTGCTCTGGAGCGCTTTGCGGAACGCCCAAACACGCACGGCCACTCTGAGCTGGTTGCAATGTGGTCCGTTATGGTTGTAAAGTGGCCCGTTCTGGTTGTAAAGTGGTCCGTTCTGGTTGTAAAGTGGTCCGTTCTGGTTGTAAAGTGGGCCGTTCTGGTTGCAAAGTAGACGTTCTCGATGAAAAACCATACTTTCCAATCCTATGTTGGTTGTAAAGTAACCCATCTGGTTGTAAAGTGGTTGTTCTGGTTGTAAAGAGACCGAATCTCGGGGGGAGGGGGGGCGGTCAGGAAGGGAAAGGGGCGAGCGAGGGGAAAAACGAGGGGGGACCGATCAAAAGATAAGCGGGGGGGTCCTTTTTTGCACACGGGTGGGGGCCCACAGCCCCCCCCCCCCGTGGCCAACGACACGGCACCCCCCGTCGCAACAAAAATCTGCATCCGATCGAGCCTGATCGCCTTGTCGTGCCGCCCTGCGGGATTGAGCCTCTGCGCGAGCTTCCGCTGCGCGCATGCCCAAAGTCTCCGCTTCAGCACGGAAACCGAAACCAGAAGCGCCTGCTCCAGACCACACAGCACCCGCGGCAAAGGGACGCGCGTGGCGCGAGGAGGAGGAGGAGGAGAAGGAGTAGGAGGAGGAGGAGGAGGAGGAGGAGGAGGAGGAGGAGGAGGAGGAGGAGGAGGGGGAGGGGGAGGAGGAGGAAAACGAGGAAAACAAGGAACCAGGAACCAGCACCTGGGCACGGGTGGTGACGCCAACAAGGAGGCAACTCCCCAGGGGCGCCTGATTCTCCCGCCGTGGCCACACCGACATGCGCGCTCCGCCGCGCGCGTGCGGCGATCGAGGGGGACGCCGATATCCCGAGGAGGAGGAGGGGAGGAGGAGGAGGAGGAGGAGGGGGAGGAGGAGGAAGAGGAGGAGGAGGAGGAGGAGGAGGAGGAGGAGGATAAGGAGGATAAGGAGGAGGAGGAGGAGGAGTCCTTATCCAAGGCCCCCCCCGACGATGCGCACTCCAGCATCCAATCTTTCCCGAGCCGTGTACGCCACACCTCCGGTGAGCTCCCAGGGGCCCCTGCAGGCCTCGCGGAGGCCTCGCTGGCCCGGGTGGCCTGCGCGCCGCCGGCAGACAGAACGGCAGAGGTGAGGAGGGCCGTCGGGCACACCTGCCTCCAGGGAGGAAGAGGAGGAGGATGAGGAGGGGGAGGAGGAAGAGGAGGAGGAAGAGGAGGAGGCACAGCGTTCCCCTAGGAGGAGGAGGAGGAGGAGGAGGAGGAGGAGGAGGAGGAGGAGGAGGTATCTAATGCTCCCGGGCCCTCCAGGGCCGGCGCACTCCCAGGCACGACTCCTCGTCCTCCCCGTCCCCACCAGCCGCCACCGCCCCCGAGGGCGCAGACGCAGCAGCAGGGCGAGGGGGAGGCCTCAGCGGAGCGGGATCGGGGCGCGGAGCCTCGGGGCCCGTGGGGTCGGAGCCAATGCCTCGCGGGAAAACTCCGAGGTCCACCAACTTGATAGCATCGAGCCCCTGGTGGTCTCGAATGTCTTCGTTCACCAGTCTGACGGCGAGCCTAGACGAGAATCGGCACGCTTGGGTCGCAGGGTCGAGGCACCCTTCGAGAACATGCGCGTCCTGTCCTGCGGACTTGGCAAAGCTTGCGTCTCTCTTGGCGAACGTCTTCGAAGACGCATTCCCAAGAAGCTTCAACTCAGTGAGCTTGTCTTCTCGCACATCGGTCATGGAACAGACGCTTGGCACATGCTTAAACTGCAAGCTGCCGACATCTTCTCGGCTGTGCGTCGCCTGTGCGTTCGGAACCACACATGGGCCCTCAGGTTCGGAGCCGAAGTTGCCGCGCGAGGATTGGCGCGACGTGCGAGCGTCGCTCTGCATCCGCCAAGACCGCCAAGGACCCAAAGACGTGCAACGACACCACATACACAACATAATCTTCGCCATCGCGGGCCGTGTGGGTGACCCCGAGGGGGAGGAGGAGGAGGAGGAGGAGGAGGAGGAGGAGGAGGAGGAGGAGGAGAAGGAGGAGGAGAAATAGGAGTAGGAGTAGAAGTAAGGGTAGGAGTGGGAGTAGGAGTAGGAAGAGGAGGAGGAGGAGGAGGAGGAGGAGGAGTAGGAATAGGAGGAGGAGGAGGAGGATGAGGAGGAGGAGTTCCACGCCGTAGATGGCCCCGAGGAGGTGGCCCTCGGCTGAAAAGAACGAACACGCCCAACCTCCGACTCGGAGGGTCGGGAACCTTCCATTCCAACCCGGATCCACCCGCGAAGACGAAACCCTCGTCCAATGAGAGTGGCAACTCGACTCCGGTGCCTGGCAACCCCCAGCTGGGATCGAAGGCAGGACGAGAGACGCAACGCCCCGACTTGGGGAACAACCCAGGAGCAGACCTTTCGCGCCAAGCTGGAGGTGCACGGCCGACGATTCTTGCCGCCTTGGCTAATGCAGGCGAGATGCTGTCGCGCGTCCAGGCCGCGTGGCCCGGGCACTGATAGCAACGATGATGGAGGGAGCCGCGCTCCGCGCCACAGAGCTGGCAGAGAGGTGACACAACAGCGTCCTGGTCGTAAAGCCGCCCCTGTATCCAGTGGGAGCCCGCGACGAGGCCTCGGAGAGTGCATTGGTGGTGCTGCTCCCAGCCACCAGACCAATTACAAAACATGCTCTCCAACACAGGCCTCCAAAACACAGCCGTGCACCAGCACTGAGGGGAGGGGGAGGGGGAGGGGCAGGAGGAGGAGGAGCAGGAGGAGGAGCGATCTTGCATGAACGCACGCTCGTCTGAAGCGCGCCTCGCCGAATGAGCGATCTGGTCGGCCACGCAGGCAGGCGAATAAAACTTAAGGTCCCACTCCCGCCCCCCGTCGTCAACCGCCAACGTCGGACCCCGAAAGCTCCACCCCACCCTCTGGGCTGTTGAGACAAGCGCTGCGACTGGGCCTTTGCAGGTGACCCACGGCCTTGCCGCGGCCGCGTTACGTTGAGCGTCCTCGAAGAGAGCATCGAGGACAGCAGCCGAGAGGAGGCCGTCCTAGAGCACCTCTCCGTAATGCTTTATCGAATCCACCGTCGTGAGCACTAGCGGATCTCTCCGCCAGCCGCGACGGACACAAGATAAAAAACAAGGCCGTGGAAACCCCCTTTGGAAGCCTTCCCTCGGCGTGGCCTGCCATCACACGGAGGCGATGCAAGCGAGCATCTGGAAGCCCATGCACGCACGAGCCCGACAAGGCTACGGCCGAGGGCCCTGCCCTGCCAACTCGGTCAAACTGGCCAGGAACCCAATTTTATTCCAAGAGATTGGGAGGCCTTTTTTCCCAACCTCAGAACGAGGGGGAAGAGGAAGAGGAGGAAGAGGAGGAGCAGGAGGAGGAGGAGGAGGAGGAGGAGGAGGAGGAGACGGGGAAGAAAGAGGAGGACGAGGAGGAGGAGGAGGAGGAGGAGGAGGAGGGACAGGAAGGAGGAGGGAGGGAGGAGGGAGGGAGGGAGGGGGGAGCGAGGAGGAGGGAGGAGCGAGGGGGAGGGAGGAGCGAGGAGGAGGGAGGACCGAGGAGGGCGAGGAGGGAGAGAAGGGAGGAAGAGGGAGGATGAAGGGAGGGAGGGAGGGAGGGAGGGAGGGAGGAGGCGGGCAAGCTGCAGAGGGAAACGAGGAACAAAAGAGCAGCGGGCATCGTACGGAGTGCCCTATCGCGCACCCCCGCGATCATAATCCTGTGCAAAACGATGTTCTCCACGCAAATCACCGCGGGTGGTACAACCACACCGCGAATCAACAGGTCGCTAGGCACACCGGGAACACTGCACAAGCCGACCTGCAATATGCAAACTCCTGCTATGAACCGTGGCCTGAGCAACACATCCGCAGTGCAGTTACGACATGAGGGATGAGAACAAAACTCAGACCAGAGAAGTTGGAGAAGCTGAACTTTAGGTCGGGCATGCCCTCCTACAGGCGGACTTTGGACGGACAACAGAAAGAGTCAAACATGCTCAACCATAGCCAAAGGTAATGAAACATCCTCCCCACTTTTTTTAGACTACCTTGGGATAGTCCTCCTGTACAGGGACGTGCCCGACTTAATGAAGGGGCCCTGGGCCAGACAAATGAATACACACAAATAACAGGATTCCCCATACTTTCCCGCATTTTCTGAGTTTCTGTCCCCCCCCAAATTCCCATATTTTCCCATGTCTTCTGGGGAATCGACGATTCATGGTGTCTGTGTGTTTTTTCCCCTCCCGCCTTAAGCTCGCCTGGCCCGATCCAAAGCGCCAGAGAGCGCTGGAGAAGCCCAGGCCGGCGCGCCCACGAGGCGCGCCGGCCCGCGCGCACTGTGCGCTGCCCACGCGCGGTGCACGAGACGCCGAGGCCCTGCAGGGCAGGAGCCGGAACCAGCTGCAACCTCAAGCAGGGCGCTGCGGGGATGCTGGAGCGCCTGGAGAGAGCTGCTGGCTGGCACCACCACCGTCCGGCTTCTAATCTGAAGCCCTCTTAGCTCTCCAAGGAGCTATCTGGGCATCGGACCGAGAGCTTCCGGAGCCAGCTGCAGGCTCAAGCATGGACAGGAAAGGGGAAAGGCTGGCGGCGCGCACAGGGGGGTAGGGGGAGGGGGGAGGGCCTCTCGGAAGGAGGCTGCTTCTTAGAAGGCGCTGGCCTTGCATTTTCAGACAACGCCCGAACCTTCCAAGAAGCAGGGGTGCTTCCAAGAAGCCCTCCCCGCTCCCCCCACCCCCCCCCTGCGCGTGGCTGAGCAGGGCGAGAGCAGGGACAGGAAAGGGGAGTGGGACTAAGATCGGGGAAGGACGAATGGGGGGCGGGGGCGGGAAAAGGAGGGGAAAGCGGGGAGGAGGGGGAAGAGGGTGACGAGGAGCTGGGGCGAGGGACGAGGGATGGACGAGGGAGGAGGGGGGAAGGGGTGGGAAGAAGAAGAGAAAGGACTCCCCGTCTCCTCCCTGATCCGGTGTTCGTCACGTCGGGCCTTTCCGAAAATCTTGGCTAGAAGCCGCAGGTCGAACTCGAATCCCATGTTGCGGAGAGCGTCCCGAAGATCGGGTATTGGGAGATAGCCTGTCCCGACGGTGCATTGTAGCCGCCATGAAGAGTAGGATGGACGACGACGATGGTTGAGCAGGGGGCGAGACTGAGGAGCGACAGGAGATACCAAGGGTTATGATCCTGAAGGCGATACGGGGTAGGAGGAAGAGGAGGACGGCAGAGATGAGCAGCAGCATCGCCAGGAGGAAGGGAAGGAGGAGGAGGCAGCAAGGCGTTGGGAAGATGTTTGTGTTTGTTTGGTATTCGCAGGCGGCCTGTCCCGAAGGAGTCGTGTAGTAGCTATTATCCGAGCGGCGAATCAGAACACGAGCGGACGGAGCGTGTGGCGCTTCGCCTTTGGAGGCGTGTGGTGGAGGCGAGCTGCGTGTTGAACAAGCATCATCATTTTGACTCTGCTCCCGTCTCCGCAAGAAGAAGCGTCTGGCTGGAAAGCGATGCGAAGACGGAGGTGCGCGGGTGTACCCTTTTCTCTGGATATCTAACTGGGCCCACGTGGGCTACAAATTTCGCCAAATCCGCCTCGCCTGCTCGCGACTGCCGTGTGTCGAACCGGGCTACCCCTGTCGCGTCGACAGCACCAAGGCTCCCGACCGCATGAGCTGGCGGGCCTGTCCAGGTGACGGCAGTCCCCTGTCCAAGTTGGTTTCGGAGCCTAAGGGGGTGCAGGCTCGTGTGTGCTTGGCGCGGGACCCAAACTTGTGAGGCCTTGGGTTGCTTGTCATTTCCTTGCCATGGAGGTTCTCCTTGGACGTCGAGCAACACCGATGGGACCGAGTGCTGAAGAGCTGGCGTACACGGACGATAAGGGGCAGGGGGGCTAGGTTGGGATCCTCCTCCTAAGCCGTATAAGGTCGGGCGTTGGCAGAACTGGGTTTATTGGGACCTGGTTGAATGATGTGTACAGGGAGACGCGCCCCCGCCACTTTCCACTAACTGGAACTGTCGTCACCTGAAAGAACACCAGCTACGGCAGACCTGGTTCAGTGATTCTGGCAAATTTAAAGATTCCGGGGCCCTACCACTAACCAGGTCCCCTTACCTGGGGTCCTGGCTATACCCGATAATGCCTCCAGAGGGCGGGCCGACAACGGAGCGGTACAGTGCAAGGCTGCAGCGGGAGCAGGGTGTAGAGGAGGGGCCTCCATCTCTCGCGAGCGTGCGGCCGCTTGCCATCGTTTTCTTGCCATCGTGGGGGGCCGCGCGCCGCGCTGGCCCGAAGGGAAAGAGAAGGCACAGCGAGGCAAAGTCGGACTTCTCTTCCTAGTCGGTCAATCAAGCCGCCTGCGGCTCCGGCATCTCGCCGCTCCGCACGCAGAGTCAACCGGCTGGCGATCGACGCAAATCCTGACATGCTCAGTATGAGCCCGTCATATGCGCCGTCAAAGCTGAACCACACACGCGGTGACTACAACCTCATCTTCCAGGTACGGTTGCTCCATGTGCCTTTGCCGCGGGCCGCCAAGCAAAATGCTCGAAGCTAGCGCAGTACCCCGAATGAGCAAGGCGCACTGCAAGACGACCATCACCACCATGACCACAGTGAGCACCAAAGGCCGATCAGAGTGCTTGTGCTCAGTGTAGCAGGAGCAGTAGCGGCGGTAGCAATCACACCAGCCCATTGACGATATGTTTCTTCTTTGGAGTCCCGCAACGGTGCGGTGACAGACCGTGCGGTGACCGACTCGGAACCCCTAGAGACCTCACCGCACGGTCCGTCACCGCACGGTCTTGGGACCCTCAGAGGCCCCTGTCGCCCGAGACGTCCTCGGAGAGGTACTCGAGCCCCGAAACCGTGCGGTGACCCCGAATCCCCACCGACTCACCGCACGGTGTGGCCACCGCAGCGTTTGGAGGCCCTGTCATTCCAGACGTGTCTTCCCTTTCGGGGGGTGTACCCCGCCCCACGCTGGTTGTTTTTTTTTTGGGGGGGGGAGAGAGAGGGGTGCCGCGGAGTTCCAGAGCTTGCAAGGGTGGCCTCTGCGAGAAAGCCAAGATCGCTGATGTTACGGAGTGTTTGGGCCCAGTTTTGGACATTTTGATGACCCCAGGAGGGGGGGGAAGCAACTTGTCCCCCTCCCCCCCCTTTGGGTCGATAACTAGCCTCCAAGATGGTCCCAAGAGGCGCCCCAGGGCTCCAAAGGAATCCAAGAAGGCCCCGAGAGTGCCCCCAGACCTCCCAAAAAAACCTAAAAGAAGACCAAGATGGCTCGAAGAGGGCCTCCGATGCTCAAAGATGGCATCCAGGATGGCTCAAGATAGCCGACGATGGTTCAAGATAGCTTCCAGCATACCTCCACGAGGCCCAGCGAGGGCCACAAGACGGTTTCAAGTGCTCTCGGAGCCCCCTCAAGACCCCGAAAGAGAGCAAAATCCTCTAGCCTTTTCGCTTCCGATGCGCGAGGCCTCAAGATGGCCCCAAGATGGCCCAAGAGAGGCCCAAGAGGGGCCCATGAGGCCCCCGAAGCGGCCCCCAGACTGCCCCAAGTGGCGATGTTGATGGTCCCAGAGGGGGGACCACATGTTACGGCCCACTCTCTTTCACCGACGCCCTCTACGATAGCTCCAAGAGGCCGTCCAGGGGTCCCAACAGGCCCCCAAGAGAGCCCCAAGAGGGCCCAAAAAGGGCCTCTGATGCTTCACTTCAAGATGGACTCCTAAATAGCCGACGATGATTCAAGATAGCTCCCTGCATACCTTCAAGAGGCCCAGCGAGGGCCACAAGACGGTTCCAAATGCTCTTGGAGCTCCCTCAGGACCCCCCCAAGAAACCCACATCCTTCAACAACCTAAGGAGCATCAATGATGTTTGTGTTTTAGCCTTTTCGCTTCAGATGCGCTGGTGAGGCCTCAAGATGGCCCCAAGATGGCCCAAGAGAGGCCCAAGAGGGGCCCATGGGGCCCCCGAAAATGCTCCAAGAGCGCCCAAGAGCGGCCCGAGAGGGCCCCAACAGGCGATGCTGATGGCCCAAGGGGGGGAGGCAAAGCCCACCAGCCGTTCGGCTAAGGTGACCTAACGATCTATTCCCTCTTCCCAAGACCTCTTCCCTTCTGGGAGGTCCCTCCCCCCCTGAGTTTTTGGCGGGGGGGGGGCGCGGAGTGCCAGGGCGCGCCCAAGATGGCCTCTGCGAGAATGTCAAAATCACTGATTTCACTAAAAGGTTTGGGCCCCGTTTGGCGATTTTGATGGCCCCAGGGCGGGGGAGGCAAATCGCCCCCCCCTCCCCTTTGGAGGATCGATGGCCTCCAAGATAGCGCCAAGAGGCTCTCCACGGCTCCCAAGGGAGGGACCTCCAAGAGGGCTCCAAGAGGGCCCCAAGAGGGCCTTAATTAGGACCCGCCAAACGAGCGCCAAAAAGACCCCAAGATCCCTCAAGAGAGTCCCAATAGGTCCCCAAGAGGCGATTTGACGGCTCTGTCCTCGTCCTCGTTATCCTCCTCCTCTCCTGCTCTTCTCCTCCTCCTCCTCCTCCTCCTCCTCCTCCTCTTCCTCCTCCTCCTCCCCCCTCCTCCTCCTCCTCCTTCTCCTCCTCCTCCTCTCCTCTTCCTCCTCCTCCTCCTCCTCCTCCTCCTCCTCCTCATCATCATCATCATCATCAGCATCAGCATCAGCATCAGCATCAGCATCCTCACCCTCATCCTCATCCTCATCCTCATCCTCATCCTCATCAGCCATCACCATCACCATCACCATCACCATCACCATCATCAGCATCATCATCATATCACCATCATCATCACCATCATCATCAGCATCATCATCATCATCACCATCATCATCATCATCATCATCATCATCAGCATCATCACCACAATCGTCATCATCATCATCATCATCATCATCATCATCATCATCAGCATCATCATTGCCCGCATCACCCTCCTTTTCCTCTTCGTCCTCTTCGTCGTCGTCGTGGTCGTCGTCTTCGTCTTCCTCCATCTCCTTTTCCTTCCCTCGCCGCCCTCTGTTCACACTGAGCGCCGCAGCCGCAAGCCGCGCGGCTGCCAGCAACGACTGGGAGTCTGGCAGCGGCAGCGGGAGCACGGCGAAGCGCCGCCGCGAGCGCGGGCGCGGCCGCTGCGGCGGCCGCGGAGGCGGCTCGCCGGCCCAGGCGGCGGCCGACTGCGCGGCGGCGCGCAGGGAAACGCACGCGGGCGGTGACGCGGCCCGCGGGGCAGGCTGGCGACGACGGCGGCGCGGTTGCCGGCGGCGCGGCGGCCCGCGCGGCTACGGCGGCAGGCGCGCACAGCAGCGACGGTTCTCCGGCTGCCAGAGGGGGCGCTCAGGCAGCCGCCGCCGCTGCGGCGCTCGTTCGACTACACGTAGGAATGGCCCTAGGCTTGAGTGACCTGTAGTGCGCGGCTTCAGGGGCGCCCGTGGGGGCCCAACGCAATCGCGCAAGTCAGCGTTGCCGCGCCGCATCAACGATCGGCGGGGCGCCACTCGAAAGATTTTTTGAGCCATCAGGCAACCGCATAATTCCGCCGATTGACTTGGAGCGCCCCGAATGGCACACCGAATCTGCGTTGGACCTCCTTTCCTGGCGCACGGGGCGCGCGGAAAGCACCGTCAGGGGGGCCTGGGCGCCGAACCGAGAAACGGTGAAGGGGGGCACTCCGGCTGCCGCGCAGCCCGCCCGCCCGCTGGCGCGGAGGCGGCAGCGGGATCCTTCAGGTTCTCGGCAGCCCTCGAGTCCACGTCGCTGGCGCTGCAAAAGCAGACGCTGCCAGGGGCCACCGCGATGATGTCTGGACTGCCGGGCTGCATCGCGATGACGTCTGACCAGGCCCGGCGTCATGGCCAAAACTGGCCCCATCCGGGAGCCTGGAATATGTTTGAATATCACTGGATAGCTGATGATAATAAAAAGATCCCCATTAGTTCAAACAGCAGATTCAAACATATTCAAAGGTATTCAAAGATATTCGAAGATATCCAAAAGTATCCAGAAAGATAGTCAAGCCAGACGCTTTGGGATTTGGGCTGGGATTCGGGGTTGGTCCTGGGCCAGAAAACCCGCTGTCTGGTCGACTGGCTCCCCCTCGGGTAACAAATGCACGCTGAAGGGTGCGACGCGTATGCGTTGGTGTCGATTGCAAAGGGTGGGCCAAAACCTGGCGCGCTCAGATGCGAGCGTAATCACGCGATGCGGTGGCGACTCGAGGTTAAGCTCATTCTACAAAAAATCACCCGACCCCCTTTGGGCCAGCACCAAGGTCACTCCGGCGAAGGGTCACTCTTACGTGTAGACGACGACTCGTCTGGGCCGAGGCGGGGGTTCGGGGGCGGCCAAGAGGGGGGCATCCAAGATGGGGGGGGTGCAAATCATGGCTGGCGGCACGTGCGCGGCCCAAGGGGGTGCCAGGGACGTAACGAAATAAGAAGAGGCGCCATGAAATCTGAGAAAATATCATGACCCACGCCATGACTTCCACCACCCCCTATCGGCCATACGCAAGAGTGACCCTGGGTAAGAGTGACCTTTGCTGCGCGACTTTTGGGGGGGCCGCGGGGGGACCAAACCTGGGCGCGCAAGCAGCTGCTACTGCTTCGTTTTCAGCCATCTGGGGGCCCATCTGTGCCCGCACCAAAAGTCACCCCCGCGAAGGGTCACTCTTACGTCTGGTCGACCCAGTCGTCACCCCCCTCCTTGCCGCCCCCGAGGGTTGGCCGGTCTCTCGCGCTCGGACCAGGCGTCCGGGCGGCGAGCGCGGGCGGGGGCGTGGCGCACGGTCCCCAAAGACTTAAAGTCGGGCATGTCCCCCATACAGGGGGATTTGCGACGAAAGGTTTAAAGAATACCCCCAAAACGCCCCCCAAAAATTAAAAAACAGTGAAAACATCGTCCCCAGACTATTTCTTTACTATTTTTGAATACTCCTCCTGTAGGGGGACAGGCCCGACTTAACCCGACGACCCGTGGGGCGGTGCTCGAGCGCTCGAGGCGGCGGCGGAGGAGCCGGTCGCGAGGGTGCCCGAGGCGCTGCGGGCGCTGCGGGCGCCTGCTATCGCACGCAGCTGCCTCCGCGCAGAACACTTCACTTTGGGTTTTAGTTTTGTTTCGTTCGTCGTGCTGTTTTTGAACTGTTTGTTTTGCAGGGTTTGTAAACAACATGGTCTTTTTGCGGTACTGCGCAATTGCTTGGTCCAGTTGTGGGGTTATTTCTGGAGTGTTTTTGCGGCTAATCTTAAGTCGGGCGTGTCCCCCTACAGGGAGATTTCGGCGAAGAATAAAAAGCACACCAACAATACTCCAAAATTGTCAAAAATATTGAAAAATAGTTCCCGTAATATTTTTTGACTATGTTTGAATTTGAATGTTCCCCCTCTAGAGAGACACGCCCGACATAATATTAATCGACCGCCCCCCCTAAAAAACCGGACCTCCTTCCCAATGCGACCTCATATTCCGGACCCCCTTCTTCGACGGGGCGCCTTCATAAACGGGACCCCGTATAAGCTCCAGTCCAAGAAAAGCGCCCTAATAAACCGGACCCCCCCAATTACAAAAAAGGCGCCTCAAAAAACCGGACCCGGGGGACGATTCATAAGGGATTTGGAGCATCGTCCAGCAAGCGAGGACAGCCGTATTGAAAAAACGCAATAGAATGGGACTGCTGCCCTAATGCTCTCACCTCCACGCGCGCGCGTCCACTGAGGTGGCCCGCGCGGCGGCCGGGCGGCGACGGCATGCCCGGCCGCGCGGCTGAGCTGCGGGCCCCGCAAAGCCGGGGCGCGCTGAGGCGTGGCTTGGCCGCACTTGCGCTGGCTGTTTTTGCTGCTGTTTTTCCCCCTTCTTCCTCCTCTTTCCCCTGCTGCTGCCCTCCTCCTCTCCATAGCCACGGGGCGACCTTTCGCGCAGGTAAAACAAATGTCTCTTCTTCCATTTTCCGGTCAACTCTGATGGGCATGGTTTCCGAATGGGCTGGTGGGGACATTTTTTCGTTAGCGGGCGCGCGAAGCAAGTCGAACGCCGAGCGTGCTACGCTCGGGTGGTGATACTTTCCTCGCGGGCGCCAGCGGAAGCGCAGGCGCCGAACGTGAGCCAGCGGAAGCCAGGCGCCAGCGAAACCGGGTGGGGATACTTTTTGATCTGCGGCCCGCAAGGAAAAGTCCAGAGGGCGTGTCAATCAGGCTAACTGGGGCACAGAGCCAGATAATTCGTGCAACATGCAGAACAAAGTGGGGAAAACGGACAGACGGGCAGCCGCGCGTGGCGACGTTGCACCAGCACTAGGACGCCAGGCGCCGAGCAGGGCGACGGAAGGACGGATGGGGGGGGAAGAGCGAGGCGACGGAGGGACGAAGAGGGGGGAAAAGCGGGTTGCCTCACTCACGGAGCACCAGGTGCTCGCCGGCGAGCCGACTCAGGTCTAATCGCTAGTGGACACCACGTCACCGTGCCCAGTGTCAGTCAGGGGGGAACTGATGGAAGGAGTGCACCACCTGATCAGCGCAGAAGGGCAGGATGTCGATGGCGACAGCGAGCGGGAACCACTCCCAGAGGAGGAAGCAACGGTCGGCAACGCCGGGGGGGAAACGTCGGCCAGGAGGCGGCATGGACCTGCCACAGTCTGGGTGGGGATACGCGGAACGTGAAGAATTGTCTTCTTGGCAAACCAAGCGAGGACAAATAACCAACAATGACAGTTCCCTCTCATGATACGATTCGTAAAAAGATAAGCGGCACTCGACTCTTAGTCCGTGAAAGCTGGAGCGTGAGTAGCATTATACGTAGAATCCATGTTGACTACGCTTGGACAGCTGATGATACGCATGTGCAGACTTATACGAGGAGACGCAAGTAACACCATACGTAATGACGTGCTTCTTCCCGAATGCGACACAAACACGACTCTCTGAAAAACGATGCCGCCGTCTGAAAGAGACCGGCGAGCCAGCAGGCAACCCTGCAGTAGGACCATTGTTGCAATTGCCTCCCAGATGAAGCGAAGACAGTGGCGCAGAGCAGAGGGGGTGGAGGGAAAAGCAATGGAACATGAACAAGAGGGGACGGGTGGACACAGAGGAGGTAACCTATGATCATCGCACTATCACTTTCACCACCGCATTCATGAACCAATCGGTATTTTTTACACGTGGAAGGACATCCAACGCCAATATGTTGTGCCGGGCCTTGAAGCACCCCGCACCGACGACGGAGATGCGACCCACGAGCACGGGGATGAGCAGACGCACGACAAGGACCATACGTACCTACTTCGAGGAATATGCCGAGGAGAAAGGGACCGGCACAAGTGGCCAGGGTTGCTGACAGCAAGAGTCAGTGTGACCGATGCGGGGCGCTCCGTGGGTAAAGCCGGAGCGGCGAGGGGAAAGGCCAGGACAACGCGGAGGATACCTGGGGGAACAAACAATGATATCCGCCGGCCCCCTTGTGGGGCCACCAGGCTGTAGGCCTAGGGTTCGCAGTTTCCTGTGCCAGTTGCAGCTTCCAGTTTCCAGTGTTACAATTCTGCTTCTTGCTGCTTACTGTTCCTTGTTACAGGTCTGCTTCTTGCTGCTTACTGTTCCTTGTTGATGGACCGCGCGAGGGGGGGAGGCCCAAAACGGGCATTTGTATCACGCCCTGAGCGTGTTGTCTGAATTGCTGGGGTGGGTAAAAATGAACACCCCTCACACAGATCGGCGGGGTCAAGGTCCAAAAACACAAGGGATTTGCCGCATTTCTGAAATCCGCTGGCACCCCTCACGCAGATCGACGGGGTCAGGGTCCAAAAACACATGGGATTTGCCACATTTCTAACATTTGGTGGCACCCCTCAGGCAGATCGGCGGGGTCAGGGTGCAACAACAGACAGGGAATTGCCACATTTGTGAAATTCGGTGGCACCCCACACGCAGATCGGCGGGGTCAGGGTCAAAAAAACTCAAGGGATTTGCCACATTTCTGAAATTCGGTGGCACCCCTCACACAGATCGGCAGGGTCAGGGTCAAAAAAACTCAAGGGATTTGCCACATTTTTGAAATTCGGTGGCACCCCTCACGCAGATCGGCAGGGTCAGGGTCAGAAAAACTCAGGGGATGTGCCACATTTCTGAAATTCGGCGGCACCCCTCATGCAGATCGGCAGTGTCAGGGTCCAAAAACACATGGGATTTGCCATATTTTTGAAATTCGGCGGCACCCCTCACGCAGATCACATTTCTGAAATTCGGTGGCACCCGTGACGCAGATCCGTAGGGTCAGGGTCGAACAACAAACAGGTCCCGACACTGCTTGACGGCGGCGCCCAGACTTCATGATTTAGATGTTGCATCTCCCATTCTCCGAGACAGGGGGCCGGCGGCATGGGGCGAAGCCCTTACGGATAAACATAAAAACTCGGAGGTCCGCGCAGATTTTTCGGATTGGCACTGGACCCCCCTCCCTGGCGCGCGGAGAGCGCCAGGGGCGGCACCGCCAGGGGGCCCCAACGCCGATCCGAGAAACCCGCGCGGACCTCTGAGTTAGTGTGTTTGTGCCATTGCTTGTTCCCCTACCGCCACGAGCCCTCATCCCGGGCGCCCCGCCCGTGCAGGTGAAGTCGCGGTCGCTCATCGCGAGCTCGCGGAAGGCCTTCTGGAGGGAGCCGTGCCTCGCGGTCAGGGCCTGGGAGGGGCGGCGGGGAGGCGCGGGCCCCCAAGGGAGGAGGAGGCGGGGGGGGGCAAGGGAGCAGAGGAGACGGAAGAGGGCGAGGACGGCGAGGAAGAGGACAATAGCGACGACGCCGGTGGTGAGGATAGGGGGGACATCAGAAGATGAGGTGGGCGAAGGGGACAAAGGCGAGGAGGAGGGGGCAATAATATCATGGCGAGCGTTGTTTTATTCGGCGTTTCGACATTGGGCGGAAAGGGGGGAAGAGGGGGTCTGGCTCTGGACCTCTGCTTGGTGCGACTGTTTGCGAGACTGCTGCCTGTGTGGAAGACCCCACCTACCCGAAACAGGTGCCAAAAAAGAGCCAAGATCCACTCCAGGGGGGGTGCGAGGGCCTGCGCCGATCGGCAAAACAATGATTAACAAAAACGATCACATGGAGACGCGGGAGCAGATCGGCATGTCGAGGGCCGGGTGGCGAACGGCACCAATGCCGAGAGCTCGCCCGCCTCTGGAAGCTCTGGTGCGATGAGGTGGGGGAACGACGTCTACAACGGGATGAAGCATGCAATCGCACCCACAGACGCTGATATGTCGCCTACTGTGCAAAATTTGCAGGCCCCCCTTTGGCACAAGCGAAAACACTGACACGCCCACGACAACTACAGCCGTGGGCCGGAACTTCTGCACTCGCTGCTAGGATATGATGGATCATGACGCGCGGAACTTCAACTCTGGCTGCCTATTTAAACTGCTACGATTTTCAGGTGCGTGCCAACATCACGTTGCTCAACGAACAAAGGGGGGAGGGGGTAAGGAGAGGGAAATCCTTTTCTTCGCACGTGCCCAGAGGCGCAGCGGGAGTTCCCGGGCCCTCACTCTTCTAGCTGCTGGAGCAGCTGAGCTCTGGCCTCACGGGCACATTCCTCGGGCTCCCCCTTCGACGTCGATGATTGTACACATAGAAGGCCAAGACCACTCTCTGGACTGCAAGCGCTCGCTGGCCAGGTGTCAAGGCGCTAGCTAGAACAAGCCTTCGGTCGAGATGTATCTCAATTGGCCAGTGTGGCCTCCAGATCACAAAATGATGGCCCAAAGCTGAGGGCACGCCATATAATGCTTCTGCGTGTGTAAATCACCACTGCATTCCAATAGACGCTGGCAGTCTCTCTGACACATCCTCTTTTCCGTCGTCCACCCCCAACCAGACTTTTGATCGTGAAGATCTGCCATGCTGGGGGCAGGCTCGCCTCTGCGTCTCTCAAACAAGGCCAAGACATTGCCTTCAACGTACGAGCAGATGGACCTCACCTTGCTGTTCAGACACCGCCGAGACATCACGCATTCCACAAGCTTTGACCTCTCTCTTCCTATATCTCTATCTCTCTCTCTATATATATATATACCTGTGTATGTATACGTATCTATATGTGTAAGTACATCTAAACACAATTTACCACGCACTGGTAATCCGGCCGTGCAGCACGCGCTGTTCAGATAATGCCGATGCGCATCCCAAGAGGAACCGGCGGTGCGTTTCAGACACGCCCGCCACCGAGTGACGACTCTGGGACCCGCCCAATGGCCGCGGAGGCATACCGTGGCGTGCGTGGTGATGCCGCTCCCGATATGGTTTTTGCTTCTGCTCCTGGCCTTCCCTCTCTCATGCTCCCGGCTCTGTTCCTTCTCCTGCTGCAGGCTGCTGCTGCCCCGTCCACGCCCTTCCCTCTTCCTTCTCCTCCTCTTCCTCTCCTCCACATCTCCACTTTCCATTCCCCCTTTTCCTACACCTCAGATTTGTTTCTCCTCCTCCTCCTCCTCCTCCTCCTCCTCCTCCTCCTTCTCCTTCTCCTCCTCCGCCACTTCGATATTCTCAATACTCTTCGTCGTTCTCCTCCTCCTCCTTGTCCTCAGCCTCCTCGTTCCGGATTGTCCTCCTGCTCCGGTTTTCTCTTCCCCCTTCCCTTTCGATCTTGTCAACACTCCTCATGTTCATCCTCCTTCCTCCCTGTCTCCTCAGTCCATCTCATCCTCATTATCCGCCTTTCTATTCCTCATTGTCGGCTTCCCTTCTATCATGCGTTAACCTCCTCACTTTTCCTCCTCTTGCTCATCTTGCTCCTCCTCATCCTTCTGATCCTCCTCTTCATGCCGCCCTCATCTCTGCTCCCTGCTCCCTCACCAACTCCTATCCTCGCTGCAGGGCACCTTGCCCCTCCGTCACCCCCGGTTGCGCACCGCGCGTTGGGCGGGAGGACCGCCAATACACGTGGCCTCCTGCGCGCTGGACCAGAGGCGGATTTTGGCTCAGCCCGCCATCCCTTGTCCCCCTGCTCGAAGGCACCTCCCTCCCTCCCTTCCTTCCAAGGCAATGTTGGTTCACGTGTTGGCCCTGGCTACCTCTCGACCTGTGACGATCATCTGCATCCTCGGCGGCCGCTGAGGTGGGGCCTTGGTGAACTCCGCGACACGGATGACCTCGCTGGCGTGCCTTTTCCTGAGCATTTCCTTGGACTTCTTGGACCTCTGAGGCTGGGGCAAAAGATCGCGGTGCATTCCCTCCTCCGCCTCGTCTTTCTCCGCTTCCTCGTCGTCATCATCCTATTTCACCTATGTTTCAGTTGTTGTCCTGCTTGTCCTTTTCCTCCTCCTCCTCCTCCTCCTCTTCTTCTTCTTTTTTTTCCTCCTCCTCCTCCTCCTCCTCCTCCGCCTCCCCCTCCTCCTCCTCCTCCTCCTCCTCCTCCTCCTCCTCCTCCTCCTCCTCCTCCTCCTCCTCCTCCTCCTCCTCCTCCTCCTCCTCCTCCTCCTTCCTCCTCCTCCTCCTCCTCCTCCTCCCTTTCCTCCTCCTCTCCTCCTCCTCCTCCTCCTCCTCCTCCTCCTCCTCCTCCTTCCCCTCCTCCTCCTCCTCCTCCGCCTCCTCCTCCCAGTCCCTCCCCCTCCCCTCTCTCTCTTCCTGCTCCAGCTGCCGGCCGCCCTGCTCATTCTGCTGATCCTTCTCCATATCATCCTCGTTACCTCGCCTTCCTCTGATTCCTCTTCACCAGACTACCTCCGCCCGCTACACCCTCCATCTTCGCTCCTCCCTCTGAGGCCCAAGCGAGCGCGCGTCGAAGGGACCCCCCAAAAAAGAAAAGCCGGGAGTGGCACGGCGCTCGCACGGCCGCAACCCCGCCGCGGAACAGCCCTCCCGAAGCGAGAGATGACCCCGAAGACAGCAGCTTCGGCGGAGGGAAGGAGGCTCCCTCCCTCCGCCACCGGCTGCGGGCTCGTCGACCCCGCCCGTGCCACGGGGGCGGCCCACCCTCAACTCAGTCCGCCGCCTCCGCCTGCACATGCGGGCCCAACACCAGCCGCCCGCAGAGGCCAGCGCCCAGGGGCCTCCTCCTCCTCCTCCTCCTCCTCCTCCTCCTCCTCCTCCTCCTCCTCCTCCTCCCCCGCGCTCGCGCCTCCGCAGCTGCCCTGGTCTCCCCGCGTGGGAGCAGCCGGTGATGAACCTCAGGTGGGCCCATCGGGCCAGGCTTTGAGGCCTGGCGGAGGCTTACCTTGGGTAAGCTTCTGGAGAGCCTTAGTACCCCCTTCCGTGGGCGGTAAGCAGGGCTCCCTGAATTTCTTGGCCGCCCGAATGGTCCAGGCTCCACATCGGGGGCACCACGCAACACCATTCAACTTCTTGATGGACGGCCCGTGGGACGGGTGGAAACGGTTTTGCGGCCCTGGGGAAGCGCAGGGGGTCTTGAGCCACCTGGGAGTCCCCTTAATTACACTACCTTGCTTGCCACAAGCCCTACAGGCGATCTGGAAAAGAGGGGGGACAGGGGCAGAAAGCAGGGTGTGGGGCGTCCTACTCAGCTCAACCTGCAGGGCTGCTACGCTGCGCTCCACCTTCACTTTCCTACGGTGCTATTGACATCCTCCTCCTCCTCAAGGCCCAGGGAGTCTTTGTGGCCCCAATAGTAACTCTAAGTCGCTGCCAATCTATCTCTGATGAGGTCTGCGTGAACATCAGTGCCTTGGAGGTGCCGAGCGAGGGGTCTGGAACTTTACGCCATTGGGCTGCTTCAGCAGCGAGTATATCTGCATGGGCGTTGAGGTGTAAGGCCCAGGGGGGTTCTCGAGCGGCTTCTTCTTCGGTGGGATGGTTTTTTTCTTAAAACAAAAATACTTTGTAGAAGATCATGCCATCCCGTCGGTTTTTGGCCAGGGCCCAGAACTTGTTCCAGGTGTACTGGTTCTTGGGGTGGCGGAAACGCGGGCCACTGTTGAAGCCCTTGATCACATATGAACAATCAATCACAATGATGAGGCGGCCGCGGGTGGACTGCAAGAGTGCAATGACTGCCTCGTGCTCCGCGAGCGGCGCGGTCTGCGGGCCAATGATCCCCCCCTGGGTGGCCCCCTTCCAAGTGAGGTCATGTGCCCGCAAAGATGCACTCCAGCCGCAGACTCTGATGCGCGGGTCCTTCGTGCGAGGTCCACCACTGCCGTCTGTAGCTGCCACCTGCCAGTCATCAAACTGGTAAACTGCATGCTGTTCAAATGCTCCTTTTCGGACCGTGTCCTGATTGAGCCGCAGGATGTGCCCATGAACTTGACGGAGGACCGCGGCAGGGATGATTCCTCGGAGCCAGAGACTTGGGTTCGTAGGAGGTTCAGCCACTGCGCGGCCTATGGAGGCCTGGGTCCGACTGACGGCGGGGATGTTGAGACCCTCCAGTTCAGGACGCGTCCAATATTTATGTAAATCATCTCCGTGCTCTTGACCGCAGAGGGGGCATTCGGCATCGTCCTGCTGGCCACTCTCAAACCTGCGGTGGGCGCTCCAGCACCTCGAGCAGGAGACGGCCTCTAAAGCTGCTGGAACTGTTGCTTCTCGCTGGATTTCCTCCTGGGCCTGCACTTGTTGGGCTTGGGGAAGGGGGGTACTCGGCTAACTGCTTCTCGCGCATCTTGGTAGCTGCTCGCTTTCTGGTAGGGTAGAGTCGAAGAGAGTACGCGTCCCCCCCCCCTCCTGGAGGCCTCCTGAGTTGTGGCTGAGGGGGTAGGTCGCTTTCCATACATGCATGTTCAAGAGGAACTCCAAGTGAAACATGAAAACCTTCAGCTGGTCCCAGCTCAGCGGCTTGACGGGGAACTCTAGGCCTTCGGGGTCCCTCCAGAGCCACGCCGAGGTCGGGGTCCAGCCTATGTCGCACAGGGTGGCGATGACCGCGGACAGGTGGGACCTGACCATGAGCCACCTTGATGGTCTCTTGAGTTTCTCCCTCAGGATATCCCAAGACTTCTGGATGCCTCCGGGAATGTTAAGTTCGGCGTTGACCACCCGAAATCTCATCGTGAAAAGCTGAACCCGAAGATAAATCCCTGGATCCATGTCAGACGGGTGTCCTGGACGGGCGTGGAGGCCAGTGGTGAGGCACGCCCCTGATTTAGATGCTCCATGTGCCGCGTCAGCCAATCGGCGAAAATACTGGACTTCGGTCGGCGCTGATCCGCGTCCCTCCGTGCCCCACTTCAGCTGCGGTAGGGCGCCTGTGCGGAAGAGAGGCCGCGCCTTGGTTGCAGTCTTGGCCGGGCTCTTGATGTTCTTGTGTCTCTGCGCTCCGAGACGACGGCGGGCACGGTGGACTCCCAGGGCCCTTTCATTCCCGATCGTGGCGTCGACCCCCAGTTCCCGAGCGTGCTGCGCGGGTCGGGTCTGGACCCCTGCTTGATTGAGTTTTTCGACGACCGTGGCGCGGATGTCGTTGGAGCTGGCCAGGGCCACAGACTTACCAGAGAGACGGCATCCTGGGCCAGCGAGTCCTCCACATAACTGCAAAATGGGCCCTGGAAAGGCAGCGTTCAAGGCCTCTGGGCCCCCGACAAGACGGACCGTGGCGTCGTCGACCCAGGTTCGGATCGTGGGCCGTGGGATCTGGTAAGGGGCCAACTCGAGGACGTCGCACAGGAGGGCCCTAGTCCAGGAAACGCAGTGTCCGCGCACTTGGAGGATTGAGGCCATCGGTATGAGGGGCTCGCTGACTCCAATCGGTGTCGTGAGAACTCTGGTGCACGTGTGGATAATCACGCCCAGCGCCAGTGAGATCACAGGGTAGCCTAATGCGAGCGCCTTCTCAGCCAGCTTGTGCTGGCGGATGGCGTCGAACAGCTTTTCGAGGTCTAAAACGCCCTCGGTGATGGAGCACTTGAGAGAGCTGTTGATCTCTGCAGAAAGCTCGCTGACGAGGGCTGCCCTTAAACAATCACTGCCTTTGATGGCTGCGTCCCAGAAACCTGCCCGTGCCTCTTCCCAGGAGGCGACCTGGCCCTTGAATAGGCGCATCGCCACACGGCATGGGGCGTTCGTCAGGGTGATGGGGCGGTCGCTGACCTCAGTCTTGGGTTCCAGGGCCACCAGGTTGACTAGGCACTGGGCTGGGAACTGCTGCAGCCTACACGCGTCATGGATGATGCCTGTGAGGATCTCCAATCCTTCAGGGGGAAGCCGACGGAAATCTGCTACTCGCCACGGGTCCGCTCCTGGTGCAGAGTTGGCCGGGGAACTCCAGAGGGCCTTCTGAACTTGTTCTGGCTTCCAGTTCTGGGAGGAGCCCCAAGAATCCATTGCTTGCTGGCGGAGATCCTGGAGCCACGGGGCCTCGAGGGGCGGGCTTGTCGGGGAGGATCCCATCTGGGTCCCAATGCTGCAACCAAAACTCGCTTTTGTGGTTCAGGACCTTCAGGGGGTCTGTGATAATCTCCACGTCGACCGAGCTGAAAACGTCACTGTCTTCTTCTGGAGCGGGCCCAGGGGCCTGAGTGACATGGCGCGCGCCACCTCCCCCGTGAGCGAGGGAATCACGCAACCATGTCTTGAACGCAGCCTCCTTCTGCACCAAAGCTTCCTTATCGAAGTGCTGAACGACCCGCTCAAGTTGAAAACGGGCATCTGGCCGCGAGGTCGTAGCACTCGCGCCTGCAATATAGGACTGCACCAGGGTCTGCGTAGTGGGCAGGGCCACGCTGGGCTCGCCTGCAGGGTGGAGGCGAGGCGCCCCTGGGCCCTCGAGAGCTCTCTGGAGGCCGGGCGGCGTTGAAGAAGATGGTCTCGTTCTTGGGCCCGCTGCTGGACCACCCCCCACTGATGGCTTTCATGACGCAGCCGACGTTGGAAGGGCGTGGGGTGTGTGGGTGTGTGGGGGGGGGGGGGGGGATGTCCCTCCAGATGACCTCGAAACCGCCCCCGCGACTGTGGCCTTCTTGGGTTCCTGCAGGGGCCCCGATACACCAACCCTCGAGGGCCCGGCCGAGGAGGCCACGCTGGTGAGTGAGGGCGCTGTTGGCGAACTCTCCTGCGATAGGATACTGCGCCTGCGGCGTCATGTGCTGGTCTAGCTGCGCCTGGCACCAATGGTGTGCCCACGGACTGGCTGGGGCTGCGGATGATTTGACTGATGCGGCTTGCCGGGGAAACCATCCCTGGCGATGGAGTGCCTCCACGCGGAAAGCTGCTCTAAGTCCGATGCGTGGCTTCCGCGGGCTGGTTAAATCGGTCTCTACGGACAAGTAGTCCGAGATCGAATTGTGGATGATGAAGTAGTCGATAAGACGACCGCTCCGACACGAGGTCACGATGTTCGCGGTTTTGATGACACCTGAAGTTTTCTCGACCCAGGGGTGGCCTGCCAGGAGCTCCTGAGGGGCCATGTTGAAATCTCCCGAGATGATGTACGGGAGGTCCAGGGAAGTGAGGAATACCGAAATCTCCTTCACTACCTCGATGTTGAAACTGTTGTAGCCGACCCCCAACTGGAGGTAGACGGTGAGCACAACTAAGTTGCGGGCCTTCGTACGGATCAAACAAGCGGTCCAATTGGTGCCCCCCACCAGGGGCCTCTTGTCGCCCTTCCCCATCATGACTCGCGCATGAGAGTGCATCTGTCGAGTGGAAAAGACCCCGACTCCGCCTGACTCCCCGCCAGCTGAGGTGGCTGTGGCGGGGCACTGTTAACTTTTGTAGCCAAGCTTACCCAAGAATTTACGTGCTTCTCCCAGCTTACCTGAAGTCAAATGTGTCTCCCCCGACATGATGGTCTGAGGAAGCCCAGAATCAGAAGACTGTAACTATTTCTTGGCTTTGTCATTCCACTTAGTGATATTGGCGTGGTAGATGTGAAACTCTGTCATGAGCTCGGGGGGAGCCCGCTGAGGTGGCCGATTGGCCTGCTCAGCTGTCGCGAGCTCCCCCCCGCTCCCTGGGACAACTGCGGCTCCTACGGTCACCGCCAGGGCCTGGACGGGCTGCCCCATGTGCGCCTGCTGCAGGGCGGCCACGATGATCTTCCCTGGTGGCCTGTTTGGGCTTCGCCTTCTTGACCTTGAGCTTCGCGGGGGGCAGCTTGGCGGAGGCTGCCGTGAGCTGCTCGAGGAAGGCCTTAACCTGGTCGCCCTGCTAGCCTTTCAAGTCCTGCATGTGGCGCTTGAGGTCCTCTGGGATCACAGGCATGGCTGGGATCTCGATGTCCTCCTCTTCGTCCTCATCCATGGGCTCCTGCTGCTCGGTGGCCTTGGCGGGGTCATGCCCGCCGCTGGCCCACTTCGCGGTGGCCTCCACACTGGCCTTCTCGAAGGTGTCGCGGGCCCCCTTGAGCTCGGTGCTCGCGTCCTTCAGCTCTCCCTGTGCCGCCCTGAGCTCGGCTGCCAAGCGGTCCACAATGGTGGTGAGGTCCAGCTGCTTCCTCTCTAGCTGGCGCACCTTCTGTAGTGCCTGGGTTGCCGAGATCGCGGGGTTCTTCTGCTCGGGGGCGGTGATGCCTTCGGGCTCCTGTACTTTGTCTCCGAGGGCGTTCTTCTGCTCGGTGGTCAGGGTGCTGAGGAGGGCAGTGAGGATCTCCTTGACGTCCCCGAAGCCGCCCTTCTTGTCCTTGCCCTTGCTCTTCTCATCGCCTTGACCTGCATGGTTCCCTGAGTGACCACCTGGGAGGTCGAACGGCTTCCCGCAGAGACAGAACACCTTCTTCCTTGTTCGTTGAGGTACTGCCATTCCTTGCATGCGCTGCTGACGACGTACTGCCTCTTCTTGGGCTGCACGAGCTGCGCCTGGTACGCCCACCAACCGCCCATCGCTGCTGGACTTCGGTGGTTCCCGTGGGCGGCGGGCGCCCCAAACCGTCTGAGCCAGACAGGCTACGGAAACCCCGAAACTATTCGTTGGTTCTCGGGCGTCTACAACCCTTCACAACGTTTAGCCTTGAGCCAAAATGGCTACGGACTCCTCCTCCTCCCCCTCCTCCCCCTCCTCCTCCTCCTCCCCCTCCTCCCCCTCCTCCTCCTCCTCCTCCGCCTACTCTTCGTCCTCCTCCTCCTCCTCCTCCTCCTCCTCCTTTTCCTCCTCCTCCTCCTCCTCCTCCTCCTCCTCCACCGCAGGCAAAACGACACACACGTCAAGGGCCCGAACTCCGACGGGAAATGGGGCTAGGAGCGCAGAGTGGTAGAGGCCTCTCCTGGATGGGGGCGGAGGCTCGCGCCGCATCGCCGATGCATCGGCGATGCGGCGCGATCCTCCGACGTCCATCTGCTCGGACCCCATCCAGAAGGCCCAGAAACTTGAGCAGGGACCGACCGTCCTGGGATTAAGACGGCCACTACATTTTCCTAGAACCCTACAGTGCTCTAAGAATAAACACCATGCTCTGAGAACGTACGCACGATGTGTTGAAGCAAGACAGCCCCGGCCAGACATGTTCGAAGAACAGTTCGTGCAGAGCACAGAAGGTTCTGAGAGCAGTGTTTGGTAGGCCCATAGGCACGCCAGGACGCTTCGCCACTGCTTGAGGAACAGACGCGGCGGCACGGGAGGCAGTCGTCGGCCTCGCAGCAGGCGTCGCGCGCAATGGACAGACGGACGGTCGGCGGCGGGCGGGTGGGCGCGGCGCCCGGGAGCGCCCGGCGCGCACCACGGAGGGCTCGAAGGGTTTTTTTTTCGGGGGGGGGGGGCTTTCCAGGAGGGCCCCCACAGGGGCTTCGCACCCCCTATGTTGACGAGGTCCCGAGGCCCCTGGGGGCCCCTCCTGGAGAACCCCCTCCCCCCCAAAAAAAACCCTCTGGGACCCTCCGGCGCGCACCCCCTCCCCCCCCCCCCCCCCCGCGAGGGGCGCGTGCGGCGGCTTGCCTCGCGTGCGACGCGTTGAACGTGCTGACGACAGACAGGGTCCTCTCCGAGCTCTGCGGGGCGACGGGGCCGTCCACGGGGTCCGGCTCGGCGCACTCCGTGCCGTCGCTGGCCGAGCCTGCCCTGTTCCTTCTCCTCATATCCATCCCCTCCTCCTCCCGCCTCCTCCTCTCCTACTCTGTCCGCCTCTGCTCCCAGGAACTCCTGCTCCTCCTGCTCCACCTCCGGCTTTGCCTCGCCTCCTCATCATCATTCTCATCCTCCCCCGCCCCCTCCCGTTCCGCCTCCTCCTCCCCCCTCCTTCCTTTCCTCCTCTTTGTTCGTTCCTTCGCTGCTTCGGCCCAGCCCTAGACGGGGACCATACAGGAAATATGGCAGCGCAACGTCCCATCAACTCTGTGAAGGTGGTTTAGAACATGCGTTCCCCAAACAGTTGTTGCACTCAGAGGTTAGCAAAGGTGTCCCAAAGAACTGGACCTATCTGCGGGTCCCAGTCCGGCGGCTATGTAGTCGCCGTCGCCGCCTCGTCGCAACCAACAATGTCGTCGCCGTCGCCGCCCCGTTGCCGCCTCGCCGCCGCCCGTCGCTTGGGCCTGTCTGTCCGTCTGGCGGCAATTTCGTGGCCGTCGCCGCCCCATCGCCGCCCATTGTCTGGGCCGGACCGCCAGTTTGACGGCTATGTTGTACAACATAGATTGCTTTACTTAAACTGCACAACGCTGCACAACGTAGATAGTTCCGCATCAATTGCGCCACGCAGATCGTCGCAGTCGCTGTCGGCGGCGCCGTCGTCGTCGATGTCGCTGTCGTCGTCGGCATCGGTGTCGTGGCCAAATGCCACGCAGTACCTACCGTCACGGTCTTGTCTGAAGATGTCTTGCGACCAAGTTGCGGGTGGGAGGGTGGGATGTTTGCACGAGCAGTGGAGAGGACAGCTTCAAGACAGTCGAAGTGGATTGCACCACATAGGTTGCACCACACAAGTTCTCTTTTCCATAGTACGAACGGATATACCCCCAGACTTAACAATTCCCCTTTTTCATATTGCAAGTTACCCACGATGTTGCCCCATCGTCCATACCAAACATGAACTCATACCATCCCGTCAAGCCGGCATGCCCCCCTCATCCTTTGCGAATATGCGCGCGTACGCGTTCATCACAAATCACATATGTTCAAATATCCTTTTGCAAAATATGAGACGACGTGCGTACGCGCGCATCGTCGCGCGTCGTCGCGCGCGCATGCTGGAATCCATGGGCAAAAAAACATCGTTTTCGCAGGGATTTCGAAATCGATTGTCCCGACAACATGTAAAAATGAGTGGTTTCGCCACGCGAATGTTCAACTACAGTTTGCGTTCGCGCATTCGCGAATTCTGAATAACACCATCGGTGTTGGAACATTTCATCACATTTAATCGAACGGGCCTCTTCCGCACGCGTGTCGAAATCGTTCGAACGCCCCTGCGCTGTCGCACGAAGCCTTTGCAACAGATGGGACGAAGTTCGCGCGCGCACGTCGTCACGCGCGTACGCGGGAATCCTTCAACAGCCTTCGACTTCGTAAGGATTTCAAAACCAAGCGCCCCGAGCATATGTAAAACAAATAATTTTGCAACATGCGATTTCCAAGAAGCCTGCGCTCGCGCTTCTGCAAAGTCATAAAAGGAACTATCGTTTTGTCAACATTGTCATTCAATTCGGCCAAACGGGCCTCTCGCGCTGCTCGTCGACATCATTCAAACGCCCTGGCGCGCGCGATGAGGGGTGTGACACGATCCGTGTCGAAAAATACCATGTGGTCAACTCTGGCGGGTCGGCCGCGCGCGCACATCAAATTCTCTCCAAAACTTGCATCACCGACGCGAGGACGCCGTCATCGTCGTCAACGTGATCAGCATCGGCCCCGTCACTGGCCTTGCCGTCGTTGCCATCATCGCCACCAGCATCGTTACTACCATCATCTTGTCAACCGTCGTCGACGTTGCCATGACACCGCGCCCGCCAAATTGGCCGACACGCGCCGAAGTGCAGGCTGGGAAGTGCCCAGCGGTCAGCGCCACCGCGGCCGCGTCGGTCGCGCTAAACTAGCCGGCCGCTCCGCGCGCGAGCATGCGCAGGCTTGTGCGGCCGCAGAGATGCACCAACCAACGCCGCGGGCCCGTCGCGATCGCCGCCGCATGGGTTTCGCAAACCAAAGTACGGGTGGGTGGTGGGTGGCATGGTTGCGCAAGCAATGGGGTTGACAGCTCACTGCAATCAGAATGTACTCTCCCTTCTTTAAAAAGAACACACTCTACCCCCCCAGGGCTATCCGCTCATCTTTTCGTATTGCGATTTGCATATGACTCTGCCCCATCGTCCATCCTAAATATGGATGAATTCGCACCGTCCCAGCCGAGCCGGCATCCCGCCCCCCCACGCTCCTCTGCAAAAAATACTACGCGCGCGCGCTCGCTTATCACGAATAATCAGTTTTCAAGAAAAAATCGGGACGACGTGCGCGCGCGCATGTTGTCGCGCGCGCGTGCCGAAATCCTTCAATTACCATTGGTTTCGTAAGGGCATCAGAATCGAGAGCCCCAAAAACAAATAAAAACACTTAACTTCGCAACGCAGAATTTCCAAAAAAGCTTGCGCACGTGCTCTTGCGAATTTTAGAGAAGCCATGCGTTGTGTCATGCATTTCAATGCTAAACGCAAAGCGAAGTGCACGCGCGCGCGTCGCCGCGCGCGCATGCCGAAATCCGGCCAAAACCTTCGGTTTCGCAGCGATGTCAAAACCGAATGTCCGACAAACGAGCTACACGCATGGTGTCGCAAGAATACGTTTCAAGAAAGCGCGCGCTCGCGCTCTCCCGGATTCTTGAGAAAATCACAAGTTTGCAACATCTTCATGGAATTATGCCAATCGGGCTTCTGGCGCTTCACGTCGACATAATTCGCGCGCCCTTGCGCGCGCGCTGGGGCGGGGGGGGGGGGGGGCAGGGTCCGCGTCAAATAATGCCGCGTGGGCCACTCTCGCGGGTCGGCCGCGCGCGCGCGTCGAACTATTTCCAAAATCTGCAAAGCCGACGCGAGGACGCCGTCATCGTCGTCGGCGACCAGCATCGGCGCCCGCAATGGCCGCGCCGTCGTCGCTATCCACATCGTCGCATGCGCCGCAACTATCATCGTCGCGCCTGCCGTTGTCGACGTTGCCACGATGCCGCGCCCGCCCAAGTCGCCGACTCACACTGAAGTGCCCGCTGGGGCGCCCCCAGCGATCAGCGCCGCCGCGGCCGCGTCGGTCGAGCCAAACTAGCTGGCCGCTGCGCGCGCGTGCCTGGGTCGGCGCGGCCGCAGAAATGGACCAGCTAACGCCAGACACTCGTCAAAATCGCCACCGCGTGGGTTTGGCATACCAAATTGCGGGTGGGTGGGTGGGATGTTTGCAAGAGCATGGAACGTGTCAGCAAAATCCTGTTGCGCCACATCGGTTGCGCAGCGCGAAGAACAGCGCGCCCATTGCACGAAAAAGCTTTTACAACGTGGATCACACAGCAAACATGCACAACACGCATGGCTTTACATCGGTAAAACCACAGGTATATTGCACCAAGTCGATCGCCCCACATCTACTGCAACACGTAAATCCTCCTTTCCAGCAAAGAATAGAGCCTACCCCACACGCCCCCTGGACTTATCGGTGCACTGTTTCGCGCATTGATTTTCGTATTGTATGATTCTGCAGACCCCATCCACCGAAATATGAACTCGCACCATCCGAGGCAGTCGGTCATCGCCCCCCCCGCCCCATGCCCTAGCCGCAAAACTATGCGCGCGCACTCGTTGATCGCAAATCATCATTTGTCACTAATGCATGCCAAAACCCGCATAGGTCACACGCGCATTACACCGCATAGGTTGCACCGCGCAGGCTTTTCCACAAGAATGATCGGATCCACCCCCCGGGCTTAACAATTCCATTTTCCATATTTCCATTTGCACACGATTTCGCCCCATCGCCCATGCCAAATATGAACTCACACCATCCCAGGTTTAAATGTCCTCGGCAAAATATGGGACGACGCGCGCGCGCGCGCCGTCGCGCGTCGCGCGTGCACGCCGAAACCCATCAAAACCGCGCATCAGGAATCGAGCGCCCCGGAACCAAATAAAACGCCAGCGGCTGCGCAACAGGGGCCTGCGCTCGCGCTCTTGCAAATCATTCGTTTTTTCATGAAATGCTTCCCGCGCGCACGTCGACGTCATTCGAGCGCCTCTGCGCGAGTGCTGTCGCAAGAGTCCCTTGCAAATCGCGGGGCGAAACGCACGCGCGCGCGCGCGCCGTCGCGCGCGCGCGCGACAGAATCCCCCAAAACCTAATGCGTCGCAAAGGTTTCAACGTCGAGCGCCCCGAACAAATACTAACAAACAAGGGGTTCGCAACAGGAGTTGTCGCAGAAGTTTGCGCTCGCGCTCCCGCGGATTCTCGAGGCGACCATCGGGTTTTCAGCATTCTGATCAAATGCGACCAAACCTGCCATTCGCGCGCGCATGTCAAAATCATTCGAACGCTCTCGCGCGCGCGCTGGAGGGGGGCGACTCGTGTTCCACTATATCCTGCGGGCCACTCGCGCACGTCGGCCGCGCGCGCACGTCAAAATCTCGACGCAGACTTCGCCGCCGACGCGAAGATGCCATCATCGTCGCCGGCGCGATCAGCATTGGCGCCGTCATTGCCTCCTTGCCGTCGTCATTGTCATCGTCGTCGCTAGCGCCGCAACTATCATCATCGCGTCTGCCTCTGCCAACCTCGCCATGATACCGCGCCCGCCCGAGTCGCCGACTCGTGCTTAGCGCGGCCGGCGAGACGCGCTGGGAAGTCCCCAACGGTCAGAGCCGCCGCGGCCGCGTCGGCGGCGACGGACAAGCTGGCCGCATTGCGGGCGAGCCCGCGCGCTGGCGCGGCCACGGGGACGCGCCAGCCAGCGCCGAGCAATCGTCGCATTCGCCGCCGCGTGAAATTGGCAAACGGACCTGCAGGTAATTAGGTGCGTGGGATGATTGCGCAGGCAGTGGGATTGATATTTCCATGTTCGTCAGGGTGAGCTGCGCCGCGTAGATCGAATAACATAGAGTCGACCGCGTAGAGTGCGCAATATAGATAACACCACATATATTGCACAACGAAAACAGCTCTAGGCTGGAAGTCTCCTGGATGCATGCCATGGTCCGTTGGGATGCCTCTCGGGGCCTTCTTGGCGGCGTCTTGGGAGATTGTTCGGGCCTTGCTAGGGGGCTTATCGTGCCCCCCGGGAGCCTACAGGGAGTGTCTGAAGGCATCTGGGAGGCGCCTCGAGAGCCTTTGGGAGAACCTTGGGGCCATCTTAGGGCAGGGCGCTCGAAAGGCTTGGGCAGGTCCCCTCTTGTGGCTCCCTCCTGGCGCGCGCGCTCAACTTCTGGCCATGCTGGACAGGTTAACTCATGGGATATCGAGTCTGGCCGTCTTTTTCCCAAGAGAGCACGCAGATGGCCCAAGAGAGTTCCAAGACAGCGTCAAAGAGTTCAACAGCATTCCCGACAAATCTTCGAATTGTGACCCCGACGTCTTGATGGGGCTCGGGGCGAAGTTCAAAAGAAGGGGATCGCTGGAATTCCCTTTTTTTCAAATCGGGTCTCCTACCGTGTAGTGCACAAAAATCGGGCAGCCTAAGAGGCCTGCAGGGGGCTCCTGGACGGCAATTTTGAGGCCTCTCCAGGGCGGTGTTTGATGTCTCGTGGGTTTTTGCTTGGGCCTCTCAGGGGTCTGGGGTTAGTTGGGACCTCTGGGGGGTCCTGGAGGCCTCTCGGGGGCCTCTTGGGGCCTCCTGCTCCCGCTCTCGGGCCCATCTTGGGCCTGTCCTGGGGCCGTCTTGGGCGCCCCCTGGGCAGTCTTGAGCTTTTGGGGTCGTCTTGGGCCCTCTTGGGGGTCTCTTCTTCGGCCGTTTTGGGGCGGTCTTGGGGGCCTCTTCGGCTGTTTTGGAACGTTGTAAGCTTGAAAACGCGAAAAGGCCAAACACCTTGAAACAACTCGTGCAAATCAACGATTCTGGTATCTTTCGGGCTCTCTCGGGACGGCTCTCGGAGCGATCTTGCGCTAGTTTTCGGGCCTCGTGGGGCCTTTTTGGGTGACTCTCATGGGTCTGGGGATTATTGGAGGCCTCCGGGGGATCCTGGAAGCTTCTCGGGGGCCTCTGAAGGCCTCCTGCTCCCTCCCTCGGGCCCATTTTGAGCGGTCCTGGGGCGCTCTTGAGCCGTCTGGGGCGCCTCATGGGCAATCTTAAGGCTCTCTGCGACCGTCTTGGGCTCTCTTGGGGGCCTCTTCGGCCGTCTTGGAGCGGTCTTGGGAGCCTCTTCGGCTTTCTTGGAGCGCTGGAAGCTCCAAAACGCGAGAAGGTCAGAAACTCTGGAAGGAAAACAATGGTAATCAACGATGTTTATGTTTCTGATTTCGACTGGGCGACGAATTACTGGAGAAAATCCGAGATCTGCGTGCAGAACGCAACGCTGATGGGTCAAAGGTAGCGGCGATGGTTCCAACCACACAAGCTCGCTCCTGACCGCTACTGCTGCGATGCATGGCCCGGTTAGAAATACGTGAAAAGTAAACCGCGTGCAAATACAATGCTGGCTCTAAACTGCTCCAAGCATCACGTGGGCCGAAGCTCATGACCAAAGGTTGCAGAAAAAACAAGCCAAGGCGCTGGCTGAAGGGGGAGCGTCTGCCCGCGCGATCTCTAGAAGCTTGTGCTCATGTGAGCGCTTGTGCTTCGTCCTCCACCACCACCTCCGCCCCCCACCCCCCCCCTCCCACCACCAGCCCAGACCAGCCCCGCCCGATAGACATCGGTCACTGACAACTGGTTTGTATATTTTCCGGGTCCAGTCGCAAGGACATGCGTAGGCAGTGCCATGATGTCTGTACTACCGTCCAGTGGGAGATCGATGGGAAGCGCATGTAACATCATATCAAAAGAACAATACTTGTTCCAGTGCTGATATGTGGCTTGGATTGCACTTTGGGGCCCCGAATGGGCGCGGCCCTGCATGGAGGAGAACAAGGAAGAGAAGATGCCATGAGGGGGGAATAATGGAGTGGAAGGGGCAAGAGACGAAGTTGACCCAGCGGTCAACGGAAGGCGAGGTAGCCGTCGGAAGGAAGGTCAAAGCAGGCGTTGCAACTATGTTTGGTGGAGGGCGGCCTCAGGCGGTTGGGACCTACAATCGGGTTTACCAAGCGTCGGGTTTGGAGTTGGTGGCGATGTCGTTCGAAGTAACGACAAGTGCGCGCTCCTCAGTGGTATCGCCTTCCTTCTGCTTCTTAGAATAGAGACGCCCGAAAGTGCCCAAGAACGCCAAAACAATGATAGAGACGAGACATACGCTTCCGACCTTACGTAGCTGCCGCCCCCCGTGGTAAGCGACGAGCATTGGACCTCGACACTTGTGGACCCCATTGGTTTGGCTTCGTTTTTAGGAAGCTTATGTGAACATCAACGATATTGGGCCCTTCGGGCCCTCTCAGGACGTCTCTCGGACGTCTCTTGGGGCCTCTTGGAGGCTTTGTGGTTAACTCTTCGGCGATGCTGAGAGCCTGGAAAGCAGTCGGAAGGCGTTCTTGGGCTATTATTTTGCGTTCTGGGGGCTAGTTGGGGGCGTCTTGGGCCGTCCTGGAACGTTTTGGGGCTTCCCTTGGAGCCCTGGGGGGGGCGGTGCCAGGGATTTTCCGAAAGTTGTACCAGAAGTGGGTGTCGGGGCCCAGGGGGGGTGGGGGGGCGTGTATCTTTATATCTATATATACTAGAACCACGCGCGCGGTGCGCGCGCTTTGGTTCTAGCAAGATGCGGCGACGGTCTAGGGTTCGCAGCATCGGAGAGCAGAAAGACTTCTATCAATCATGATCAATCAGCAAACCGCATCATCCCTCTATGCCCCCACGGATGCACGCCATGAGCCCCAGTCGACCTTAATCCTGCATTCTCCTCTCAGCAAACCCTCTCAATCCCTTTCCTTTCCACACCCTTTTTGGCGGACCAATGGAATCACCTTCCACGCGGCAGAGGAGCTGTTGCGGGCGCGGTGGACGAATTCCACTCGGCATGCAACGCGAAAAAGTATGTTCGTTGTCGACGCTGTGGACGTGTTCCACTCGGCGTGCAACCATGAAACATACAGACGGCCGCAGGTCGAAATAGGATTCCGCATGATCCCACTTCAGCTGCCTACATACCCTTTGTTTCATTCCCAGGGGGGCGCCTCGAGAAAACAACTCACACACGTACAGCAGCAGCTCGTGTGTCCACCGGGGGGAGGAGGGGGGGCGGGCCCCAGTGCTTAATCAACCCGGTTGAAGCAACCGCTTTAAGCAGCCAAGATCTGGTCTTTGGGGAGGAGGGAGCGGGGGCCCGCGCCGATCGGCGAAACAAGACATAAGAAACAGCTACGTACCTCTCAAGACGGCTCAATGGGCCCGATTTCGGCACACCCCTCACGCACTCTACGCCTATCCAAGGCCTAGACGACCCAGAGCGTCCAAGGCCCCGCGACGAAAATCTTTACAACGATGGGCTGTCGTGAAGGGTTCTATGGTGCGCCCACCTTCGTCGTGCAACCACCGCGCAAAATTTGCCAACACTGGGCCACCCTGAAGGTTTGAACGGTACGCGCCAAAAAAAATCGACAACGAAATGATCGATCCGACGGTCTTCCCAGTACCGCGGCGACTGCCGGGACTGATCCGAGTATTCGCTTCCTTCGTGGCGGCCCTGAAAAAAAGTACACCCACCTCAAAAAGCCAACGTCTCGCGTGAGATATCCCCGAATGCTGACCGCAAGTGGGCAAATGTCCCACCCCGTGGTCGCTCCCCATTGTGGCGCCCAGCAACGTTTGTTGCGACATCGCGAACACCACGCGGCCCTGAAAAGACGCGCCTACATCCGTGAAACAAGCGAACCGCTGGAGACATCCCCACAATCTGGGCACGAACCGGGAAGTGTCCTAATTATCCCCTGGCGGCACCCCCTTGTGTTGCCCAAGTGCGAGGCCTGTCACATCGCGATAATTCTGATCGTGATATGGAAAAGGAGGGAGGAGGAGGAGGAGGAGGGAGTGAATAGACGGAGGCGCGACACGGATAACAAGAATTCACGACGCAAAACACGGAAATAAACGCCGCAACATATTCCACGAGACGTGCAACTGCCTGCACAATGATCCGTTATCACCGTCGCACCCTTGATCCGCACGCGTTCGACGGAAACTGGCGGCAATCAAACTGGCCCAATCTGCCAGGGCATCGCTCGTGGGGGGAGGGCCTCCTCGCCTCGGGCTGCTCTCCCGCAGCCGCGCCCCGCCGTCGACGGCGAGCGCGCGCCTTGTGGGTGCCCTGACCGTCCCGGGCGGCCGCCGCAGGCCCGAACGTGCGTTTGATTCGCCCATGTCGTCCAGCCCGCCCATCTGAACCAAGAAAGCCGGTTTCTGCTGAGACATCCTCACGATTCGCTCTTAAACTTAAGCTGGCCACGGCGTGCAGGTGACGCTGGCGGTGTGCTGCCCGCGCCGAGGCGAGAGCGCCGTTTGGACGGACTTTCGGCCATTGTACGGTTCGGCCCGCATAGTACGCTATGTTATCAATGCGAGGCTAAGCTATGCGGTGTGATGCGATGCGATACTATGCTGTGCGATGCGATGCTATGCTATGCTATGCTACGCCATACTGTGCCATGCGATGATCTGCTAGTATATGCGACGCGATGCGATGCGATGCTATGACATGCTATGCGATGCTATGCTATGCTATGCTATGCTACGCGATGCTCGTCTATGCTGTGTTGTGCGATGCTATGCGATGCTATGCTATGCTCTGCTGTGCGATGCAATGCTATGTTGTAGCTCCAGTTGGTTCCCCTTCCTCACCCCCACCACCACACGCACAACCTCTTTATCACCCGAAGGGTGGTCGTACATGTAGGTATACACTGGCAGGATCTCGCGGCCAGAGATACAACCGCCTCGCGCACACTTGCCTGGAGCGGGGAGGGATGGGGAGGAATCTGGGAGGAGCGGGGAGGGGTGCAGAGTGAGGTGTCTTGTGGGCCTCTTGGACTGTCTCAGAGCGCTCTGGGATCCACAGGCGCCTACGGAGGTCGTCTTGGAGGGCTCTGTGGGACGTTTTGGGGCGATCCTGGGAGCTTCTTGGACCGTCTTGGAGGCCTTGTTGGGATGTCTTGCGGCGCTCTTGGGGTTCTCTGAGGCCGTCGTGGACGCTATTAATACAAAGCGCATATGCCCAAAATAGACGCTTCCCAAAGGAATTAGGGCGATGTGTGTTCCTTGCGGCCCTCATAAGTGTCCTCTTGAAGCCCTCTTCAAGCGCTTGGGGGGCCTCTCGGGCCGTCTTGAAGCCATCATGGGCGTCTTGACGAACTCTTGGACCGTCTCGGAAGCCTCCTGGACCGTCTGGGGAGCGCCTTCGGGCCCTCCGAAAGCCCCCCGAAGGACCCCGAGGGACACAGTGGGCACCGCGGGGGGAGGGGGGAGTTTGGGAAAAGTGGGCAGCCTCGGGCCCCAGGGGTCTGGTCGCGGGGTCCGCATGGTGATGGGCAACTATGATGGGCGCTTGCGCGCTGCAGTCAGATCCACCTTGAGCCAAAATGGCTACGGATGCTCGTGGGGCGTCTTTGGGGGCTCCTGCGGGGCCTCGTGGAGCCTCTAGGAGGCCTCTAGGAGGCCTCTTGGGCTCTCTTGGGGTCTCTTGGGGCCTCCTGGAGGCCTACTGGGGCGGAAGGCTCGAATTGTCGGTTCGTGTTCCCCCTCTTGAGCCCCTCTTGGGGCCCTCTTGAGGCGATCTTGGGCGCCTCTAGGGCCGCCTTGGGGCACTTTTTGGGCCATCTTGGGGGCTCTCTCTATTGCGCCGTCGTGGCGCCCTCTTTGGGTGCCTCTTGGGCCGTCTTGAGCTGGTTTCTGGGGCCTCATGGGCTGTCTTGAACCGTTGGAAGCACGAAACAGCGAGAACACGAACAACCTTCAAAAACCATTGAGGAAACCTACTTGCTTCGCCTCCTGAGTGCCTCGTGGGAGCACTTTTGAGGGCATCTTGGCCATCTTGAAGCTCTCTTGGGCTGTCTTCAAAACCATGTTGGACCAATTTTGGAACGCTCTTGTGCGGTCTTGGGCTCTCTCGGACCGGTCGTGGGCCATCAAGGCGCCCTCTTGGACGTCTCTCGGCCCCTTTTGACGTTTTTTGGCGCCCCCCGCTGGGCCCGAAACGGTCAGACGAAAAATCAGTGCACTTCGGAGGGCCCGGGACCCCCTACCCATTATACGTATATACATATATATGTGTATATAGACGTATATATATATGTATGTATATGCATACTTACATATATATGCTATACATTATGCATAGATAAACAAACACAGCATATATACATATATAAATACATATGTATATATATATATATGTGCATATATATATGCGTATGTATATGTATGTGTATACGTATGTAAAAATGTGTGTAAATATATGTTCAAACATACATACATACATACATACATACATACAGACAGACAGACAGACAGACAGACAGACATATATAGATACATAGAAACACACATACATACATACATACATACATACAGACAGACAGACAGACAGACAGACAGACAGACAGACAGACAGACATACATGCACATACATACATACATTTCGGAGGGCTGTTGGGCTGTGTATTGGCCGTGTTGGGCCCATCTGGGGCCACGTTCGGGCCGTCAGGGCCGCCTTGGGGCCTCCCGCTCCCGCTGTGGGGCCCAGCATGGGCCTGTCCTGGGGCTCTCTTGGGCCGTCTGAGGCTCGTCCCAGGCAATTTTCGGGCTCCCTTGGGCAATCTTGGTGCTCTGTTGGAGGTCTTTTCGGCGGTTTGGGGGCGTCGTCGGCTGTCGTAGAGCGCCGGGAGGTCGAAAACGCGAGACACCGAAAAACATTTCAAAAACCAACGGAAATCAAGGATTTGAGCCTCTTCGGGCTCTCGGGATGCTTCTCGGAGCTCTCTTGAGGCCTCTTGGAGGCCTCTTGGGCTGTGTATTTGCGGTCTCGAACCCATCCTGGACCACGTTAAGGCTATCTGGGCTGTCTTGGAAGGGCTTGTCGAAGTCCCCGAGGGCTTCTGGGAGCTCTCTGGGACAGTCTGGGAGCTCCAGGGCCGCTCCGGGGTGCTCTGGGAGCGGACTGGGGAACCCTGGTCCTCCCATGCCCTGTCGTGGTCGCGGCCCCGGTCGCCCGGGCCTCGTGCACGGGGATATCTACATCTCTCTCTCTCTCTCTTTCTCTCTCTCTCTCTCTCTCTCTCTCTCTATCTATATATATATATACACACATCGACATATACATATACATCTACATATGCCATACATGTAAATATAGATGTGCGTATTCATTTACATCTACATCTACATATACATATTCGTATACGTATACAAATACATATACATGCCCATGTGTAAATACATATACAAATGCAGATACATATACGTATGCATATACGCATACATACACATCTACATAATCATAAGCATATGCACATACGCATACCTAAACCTATACATATACATACACATATACATATAATTATGCATACGCATATGCATGCTTCTATATTTGAAAATAAAATCATACCTATACAAATGCATGTGCCTATGTACAGATGCACCTATACACAACATTTTGCATATGTATATATATATACACATATTCACGCGCATTACATGTACATGTGCATGTATATATACATATACCTATACAAATACATGTACATCAACATGTGCATACACACATACGTGTACATGTACATGTACATATACATGTACATATACATATTCATATATATATATAGATATATAAACATACATATGAATATGCATATGCAAATACATATACATTTATGAGTAAGTACCAAGCAATCGGGACCGAACCCACCGCGTCCCCCGGCGGTGGTCAGAGTTGGCTGCATCATGTGTCACGGTGTTGCTGTCCTGTAATGCTTTCGGCCGGCACACAGATTTTCACACAGATTTACACAAGGAATCCCCGATCAGCGCCGAGCCATTGCGAGGCCTCCAAAGGCACACCGCACTAAATATTTAAATGGACAGCAGTGTTTGTTCGGAACGGGACCAGGCCCTGAGGGGCGAGCGCGGACTTGCAATTCCCTGTCTGGCAACGCCGGCAATGAGAGCCGCCAAGCTCGCGCGCGCTATAACCATCGACGGAATCACCAGCCTCAAGCGCT